ACTTTTGTTATATCTGACATCAACAGCAACAGTGACGTTGCCAGAAACGCCACGCGGGATTCCAGGGTCTCCATCACACGGGCACGGCGCCACCCGCGTAGCGACCGCATCGTATTGTAGTCGATCTTTTTGTCGATGTTCACTTCTTCCTTCACCGGACGACTGATTGTGCTAAAGCACCGGGCCTTTGATTGACAACACACCAGCTTCTGCCTATCTCAAATTGCGACTGATATCACCTTGCAGTGATAAATGCAAAGTCGTCACACAACTACTGAGGTCGGCCTATCAGCTTAGGTAATTTTGATTGGTTTTATTGATGGATAGGTTTATGGATGACCAGCCTCTGTTTCAGATTTCGTTCATGCCATCGTATGTTCCTGCAGATCTGCAGATCAGCCTTCGGGTAACTTTGATAGCACTGTTGGCGCAATGCTAGAGAGGACCTACTCTTCCAAGATTACAAATGCCACATGGGGCTATACCGAAGGGGTTAAAGCTAAAACTGATTGAACAATTAAACTCAATGTAACTTCTTAAACCGATAGCACTGTGGGTTGCGTTAAATTAAGATTTAAGACATCTACCGAAAGGACGCGTACATCAAATATAAAATCTTTCTCTCCAGTCCACTACTCCGTGCACTGAACTACGCTTATATACAGACTGAATTCTATCAGCATTTTATGTCAAACCCTATCAGCACATTATGATGAATCCTGTTGGCAATTGATAACGAAGGGAGTGGTATTAGAAGCCACGCAGTAAAGATATATTGGTCGATTGTCGTTGTATAAAATATGTATTTAGCTTTTAACCGTGCCGTGCCTAAACCCGAAGAGGCAACTCGGGCAAGCCCCGGGCCCCGCCTTGATTGGACCTATCTAGGTAATAATCCCCCGGTCAGCCTCAATTGTACCCATCTGAGTAATAATTCTCCGAACAATCTCCATTAGAGGTGGGCCAACATCGAGTGTACAGGACAGGGTAGGTTCGTCTGCTTGAAACACAAGGGTGGGGTGGGTTCAAAGACATCAAGAACGATATTACTTTCTAAAGGATGTTCTGTGGATAAGATTAATCAAGAAACCGGCATATGTCGTAATGGATCAAAGTACCGTTTCATCTTGATTCCAAGGGTCCAAGGGTTCCATGGGTCTAGTACATATGAAGTAGAAAGATCAGCGACATGGTAAACTTATAAGAGAGGAACATGCCTCGTGCAACATTCTCTACACTCAACTGTCATTCATTCATTCATTCATTCATTCCTTTCTTCTTTCTAGCTCTTGTGTTCCATCATGTTCACCAAACTTTCGCTCTTTTCTCTTTTTGCCTCGACGCTGGCCGCCGGGTTGTCCTACGACAACATTGACAAGGCCGCCACTCCCCGAGCCAAGGAGCTTCTCAAGTATGTCCAGTCTCAGTACGGCTCGCACTACATCTCTGGTCAGCAGGAACTGTCCAGCCTAGAATGGGTGAAGGAGAACGTTGGTTCCACTCCCGCCATCCTGGGCACCGACCTCATGTATTACTCGCCCTCTGCCGTTGCCCACGGAGGCAAGAGCCAGACCGTCGAGCAGGCCATCCAATTTGACAAGGAAGGCGGCATCAATGCTCTTGTCTGGCACTGGTACGCCCCCAACTGTCTGCTCGAGACCGAAAAAGAGCCGTGGTACAAGGGTTTCTACACCGAGGGAACCTGTTTCAATCTGGCCAATGCGCTTGGCTACCGCGGAAACTCGACAGGCCACCGCGGCAATGGAACCGACTACCGTCTATTGATCCGTGATATCGATGCTATCGCGGCCCAGCTGAAGCGTTTGGCGGATGCAGACGTTCCGGTTCTCTTCCGCCCTCTTCACGAGCCCGAGGGTGGATGGTTCTGGTGGGGAGCTCAAGGCCCTGCTCCCTTCAAGAAGCTCTGGAACATCCTCTACGACCGCATCACCCGCGTGCACAACATCCACAACATTGTCTGGGTCTGCAACACTGCCGAGTCCAAGTGGTATCCCGGAAACGACAAGTGCGATATTGCCACCGTTGACCACTATGCCGAGGCCGGCGACCATGGTGTCCTCGCGGATAAGTTCCACGCTCTGCAAAATGTCACTAAGGGTGAGAGAGTCCTTGCGCTGGCCGAGGTTGGTACCATCCCCGATGCTGAGCTCCAGGCAAAGGACAACATTCCCTGGGCCTTCTGGATGACCTGGAACGACGAGTTTATCAAGGATGGGAAGCACAACTCCCAGCAATTCCTGAAGGATACCTTCAAGAGCGAGCGCGTCGTTACCATCGAAGATAAGAAGAAGAACTGAAGCGGGCTTGGGCCTTAGCCAGGAACTATAGATCTATTATCTGTGGCCATGTTTTTTTGCTAAGCTGTACGATTAGCTGGATGTGGATTGAGGTTCTTCTCACTTGTATTGTGCAAGGATACTATCGATTTGTTTCCTTGTATGTCCATTCCTTTGCTGTGTTTACACATTTTACTTTCTGTTGCGATGCCTCATGTGAGAGATTGCGTGTGGCAGGCTTCCCACCTTGGATATTCTAGTTAGAGAGATAGTTTCTTTAATTTTAAACCTCCCATCTCTCTCTGTGTTTTCCCTACTTCCTCTCCTGGGAGGTAACTTCGGTAGATTTCATGGCCCTCCTCCTTCTAGTCATAGTGAATGTAAAAAGACGGTTGTGGTTTTCATCTTCATATAGCCTTGACGACTATTCTTTTAGCATCTATCCGTGTATCTCGCATTCACAGCATATTTCGACGTCTTTCACCACGAGCCTATCCATAAAGGTTATGAACCCTCCATAGCTCGCTTTTCGGTATCTCTACCATCCCCATTCTTATTTCCCTGCATATTTTTGGTCCTCTAGTACCTACCTTTTTATTGACTTGTATCAATTTATATCGAGCCTCCATCCATTGAGGGCCTCTTGCCTTTCCTTCCATCTTCATTACGCAGAAAGCTGGACGGCCAACTCCAGATGGTTAGAGCCAAATATGAAGAAGACAAAGGAAATGGCTCCAAAACTATATAATTGTATGGCTGCCATATATATGTAATAGGAAACGGTGTGCGTACACTATGAACTAGACGTGAAGTAGGAGACAGGGAAGCATCGGCCCGCTGTGGGGAGCGGAGCAACCCTAAAGCTTCCAAAATTCACATGATAAATGGCACCGCCATAAGTGGATGAATGGATGGGCGGGCACTTGGCCTAGCGGTTGTCGTTGGCGGCATTTGGCGCATTGCCCTTGGATCCCCGTCCATCCTCAGCTTGAGTGCCGTTTGATCTCAAGTTGCCGGATCGCCTCCGGGCGATGACTTTTTTATTTATTTTACTTTGGTACTCTCCCAATCATAATGCAATGCTTCGATAGAAGAGTGCGTACACAACACGTGCACCCCCGAAGAGCTAGAGGTGCCCTGGAGGGAGTGTCTCTTCTGTAATGGCCAAATTTGACAAGCTGGAGAATCAGAGCCTAGGCACCTCAAATGACACCAGTTCAAGTGATGCCTCATGTGGGCAACCAAGGTCCACGAGTTCTCGAGCTGTTGTACCGGGCGTCTCGGCACCTCGGGACCTCGGGACTTCCCGAGGATCGGGCACCTCCTGGCAGATCAGTAAGCTTATATAATAAATGGTCGTGCCCAGCTTTACTTGGGGAGGCAAAAGCGGCAAGACCTGAGGACCAAAACGGAAAGGGAAAGCCAAGAAATGGACGGAAATCCGGTACCTACGTACATACACGTATGCACTTGTGTATATAGGAAACAATCAAGACTCGTCCTTTATTATATTCTATAATCTACCAGCTTTCATCAGAAGTGCTCTGTCCAACTATTGGTAAATTACCATCTCGGCCCACCGATCGCAGTTTTATTGAGCACTGGCCACGCGTGGTCCGGAATCGCTCGCAAGTCCGCTGCCTATTCGCCCTCACCTTCACCTTTCAATAATAACCACTCCACCCAAACCACCATCATGAATCGACTATTTGGAACAAAGAGTACAGGCCCCAAGCCGACTCTTGAAGGTGCTATTAACAATGTACGATGCCCGCACAAGCCTGGCCCAAGACACCCCCGCCCTTCAAGATACCCCACTAACCAAACAACAGGTCGACACCCGAGTTTCCAGCATAGATGTGAAGCTAGCAGCGCTCAACTCCGAACTCTCCACATACCAAACCAAGATGGCCAAGATGCGCGACGGGCCGGGCAAGAATGCCCTCCGACAGAAAGCGCTCAAGGTCCTTCAGCGACGAAAACAATACGAGGCGCAGCGAGACCAGCTCTCCCAACAATCATGGAACATGGAGCAGGCGGGCATGATGCAGGATAATTTGAAGAATGTGATGACGACGGTGGACGCGATGAAGACCACGACCAAGGAGCTCAAGAAGCAGTATGGCAAGGTCGACGTGGATAAGATCGAGCAGATGCAGGACGAGATGGCGGATCTGATGGAGGTCGGGAATGAGATTCAAGAAAGTATCTCTCGAGCCTATGATGTCCCTGAGGATGTTGATGAGGCCGAGTTGGATGCGGAGCTTGAGGCGCTGGGCGAGGAATCCATGTTTGAGAGCAGCATGGGCGAGAGTGCTATGCCGAGCTTCTTACAGGATGAGGTCGCTCTCCCGCAGTTTATTGATGAGCCGCCGGAGGAGCATAAGGTCAAGGAGGCCGCAGGCGGACTTGGATAAGACTAATGTTAAAGCGTGCTTTTGTTTAGCGGCAACTATGTGTTCTTCTATGTCAAGGCGCAGGCAGTGGAGTTGATTGGGTTTTTGTTTTAAGTTGCAATAAGCTACGCTCATATCATTGAAGCTCTCATTTCATTCTGCGTCATATCATAGCGATTAGCATCTATATTATTAACCTCCGTAGATCTGTTTTCGCTATAATCAGGGACGTGCTTGGCGGCCTCCCGTCCCAGGTGCGTGTGTTTAAGTGTCTGTGTGTGTTATGGAAAGGATGATCACATAGGGATCAAGATGCTTTGCCCATTCCCACCAGCACCAGCAGGGCGACATTCATCACAACGATGATAATCCACACAAGGACCGCAACCACAGAAGTGAGTAAGTTATTCCGCATCGGAACTGTCACCACATGAACTTCACCCTCTTGTCCGGAAGCTTCTTCGGTCCGAACTGTCATATAGCGATTGAGACAAGTGAACCAGATAAGTGGCGCTGAGACAAATGGCAGAATAACACTCAAAGCAACCTGACTTGCAGTCAAAGTCCTGTCAATGCCCTCCTTGCCAACAGCCGCGGCAATGATGATACTGGGAATGATACTGATCGAGCGCGTGATGAGTCTTCGGAGCCATGGTCGAATGCTCCAGTTCAGCATCCCCTCGCTCACCATTTGGCCAGCAATTGTGCAGACGATTCCAGCGGAGATACCAGACAGTAACAGGGCAAGAGCGAATACTAAGCCGGCGGCTGGTGCGATCGACTTGGAGAGCAAGCTGTGAATTCCGAATAGGTCGGCATTGTCTCCGCCAGGAACATCATAGAGAGCAGCACCCGCGACAATTAGGATTGCACTGTTCACAAACAGGGCGAAGGTGAAAAGTGACAGCGACAACTCGATGATGGAGTACTTCATGCAGCCGCGGATTGCATAAATCGATGGGCGATATTTTACTTCGCCTTCGGCATTCCCTAGGGGTACAGAGGTCTCCACGTAGCCACAGTTGACGTCGAATTCCTTGAGGCGGGATTGAACCACGCCGCTACCAAGAAATAGGGAGTGTGGCATAACGGTGGCACCGAGGATTCCACAGCTTTGGTAAAGACTGAAGATGCGTTAATAGCTAAATATTTGCGGAGGCAGCCAAACGGCAGATTACAGACTTACCCTTCCGATTGAACAATGGCTGAAGATGGCAGATAACCGCGGAAGACTTCACCAACTGACTGGTCCTTTATGAGAGAGAGCTGGATGCAAAAGCACACAACCACACCCAACACCAAAGCCATGACAAAGAACTCGAACAGTCGAAGCCCCCCACATCTTCCCATTGGGTCGGTAGAAAATGAGAATGAAGAGAACATCCACCAATGTGATAGCACAACCAGCTACCAAGGGGATATTCAACAGTAAGTTCAACGCGATCGCCGATCCAACCACCTTTCAAATTTGTCAGTATTTCAATAAGAAATCTCCATACCGAAATGCGACACTCACCTCTGCAATGTCAGTTGCGATAATGGCCGCTTCGGCCATGATATAGAGGATAATCACTAGCCATCTCGGAAGATGCTCTCGGCAGTTTTCAGCCAGATTCAGACCAGTCACAGAGCCCAACTTGATGCATAGAGACTGCAAAAGAATGGCAAATAAGTTGGAAAGGAGAACAATAAACAACAAGGCGTACTTGAAGTCTGCACCCGCTGCGACATCGGTAGCGTAATTTCCGGGGTCGATATAGGCAACCGCGATAAGGAAACCAGGGCCGATGAAACGGCTGAACTTAGCCAAAGTTCGAGCGCAATGCAGAGAATAAGACGTCAAACTGGTATAAAAAGGGTGGCGAGGTGATCCGCTGCTCCTTGGGGGTGTATCACCTCCCGAGTCCGCAGCGATCACATCGCCACCTGGCACCTTTTCCTTTCCGGGGTCGCGATCTTGCTGACTGTTTGGTCTGACATCGATGGACAACGGATCATCTCCTGCTGCATTGGCAGAATTGGCATGTCTGCGATGAACTCTGGAATTGGCAAGGCCATTGAAATCATTCCTTGTAGTGGTGTCGGGGCTAAAGGGTGGTGGGCTTTGATTCCAGCTCGGGTTTTCGAGTGTGTCGTCAGTCCGCGAGGGGCAATTCATGGCTGCAGGCTTGGCTCGGATGTAGGCTTGGCTGTGCTTGGCTGTGCTTGGCTCTGGATGTCAACGAGTTCACGTTCAATTTAAGCCTTGAGTTCTTGAGAGGTAAACATTCAGGTACCTTTGGATCCTGTAAGAGTCCGAAATTGCCCGATGTTCGTTATTCCCTCTGGAACCCGCGTATAAACCCGGACTTGTCTCACATTATCCAAATCCTTCCCCGCTTGTTATCATTTTACATTCTTACTCTGTACTCCGTACGTCTTTTTATGTTTGGGTCTGAGGTCTACTCGATTGCCTTAATTCCTCCGAAAGTCGCAAACAGATCGGATTTTACTCAAACAATCAACGGTCAGATACTTATATGCACGATCTGCATAAAATATGATCAGAAGATCTTGAGTGGCTTAGGAATCGGCATAACTACATGTAATACGATGTATTTATTTTCAATTGGACCTTGCCGGCATCGGCACAGGTGAGTTAGCTCAATAATAACAAAGATGATAATTGCAAATTATATCTTATAAGATAATTGAAATGTAGATATTGCTTTTTCATATCATTTTATATTTTAAAGTAGATGTATCGTCAATCAAGGATCTATCCAATATATATACAACCAGTCGGATTCAGGAATGACAGGTATAGCAATGAATAACAATGACAATAACAATAACAATCAAACAAACAAAAAAAACCCCCATGCAAGGACTATATGCATGCTTAAAAATAACAAAATGAATAGGCAATAATATGCAATATGACATGTCTGGCTCTCATAGGCACATTTCACTAAGTACCAACGCTAATCACCAATAAACCCCCCCAAGTTCACCGCCAAGTCCACTTCGTTGCCCCTCGCAACCTCTTTACCCGCACGTTGTTTACTCCTCCACCTTCAATCCAGCCAACCCCAAGGATCGTCTCATACGCTAAGTCGAGGCAAGTGGATCAACATCTTGATCCTCGATGACGGTTGCTGTTGGCAGCAAGAAGCCGTTGATTCTTCAAATTCCCCAGCTTGCCCATCTTGGTCTTTTCTTTTCCTTCCAACCCTATCTTCTTCCCCGCTTTTTTTGTTCTTTGTTGAGATTGAAGGGATATAGTACTCGACTATCACCCTTGTTGTTTGTGACTGCGTTGTTGTTCTATTCTGCGTTTGTTTGCACAGATCCCGTGAGTTCGAACTGCAACTACCCGTTCCCCTCCACCATCTACTTCACCTGCTAACAAAATGTACTTAGTTGCTGGTCAAAGAGGATAGCGATGGCTGCGAGTACCTCTGGTCCCCAAATCTTTGACGATGCGAACCGACCCCCTACCAAACAGTCCATGTTCCGGGCCATAATGTCATCCAAAACCCATAAACGAAATCAATCCGCCGACGATGCCGTGGCCCCGCGGCCTGTGCAGAGAAGCAGGCCAACCGAGAACATCCCTTTCCCATTCAGCGAGGAGCCTGGCTCCATTGCCGGCTACCGCCCGCTCAGTGAGATTGTCCCCAATCGTGATGCGGGTGACCATGGAATGGCGCCGAAGATGGGCAGCAAGGAAAACAAAGGTGCCCTGCATAAGAAGACCAAGAGTGCCGTCTCATTGAAGTCTCTGAGAAATTATATGGAGCGAAAGGATAGTAGGTCGGAGGATACACCCGAGCAAAGTGAGGATCTGTCGCCCAAAAAGGCCAAATCATCCAACAGTCTCTCGGCCATCCTCAAAAGGTCCCAGCGGGGAAGAAAGGACGGCTCAAAGCAGAGCCGGGATAAGGAAAACCGCAGCCCTACTGACCTTATCGACCACATGCCATCCCCAATCTCATCCCCAGTCTGGTCGCAGGACTCGGCCTCGGTTCATAAAGAGCCTACTGGTCGATCGAGGCCAAACTCCACCGCCGACATGAGGCGAACTGTGGCGGACGAAGTCTCTCTCTATACACCCAAGGGCTACGGGCCAAGCCAGCAACGCAACTTCTACGACTACCACCAACCCTCCCTTGGCAAATCGAATGACCCCAAGCCTCGCCCCAAGTCAGACATCATGGCAGGAAACCGCAAAGTGAAGGATATTCTTGGGCTGCAGCGCGCATCTTCGGGAGAGAGCGACCCTGTTGGGCGATCTGGCAGTGCTTCTTCTAAGAGCAGAGGGCCACCGAGTCCACGAAAAACATCCCCACCTACCATGGCAAAGGAAGAGCCCAAGCGACTTTCCCGTGTACAGGCTGCTATCTCTGCATTCAATGCAAAGGAGCGAGATGCTGAAGTTCATCAGCATCTCAACTCCAAGGATCTGGAAAGCGAGTTCGAGAAGCTGCTCGTATGTTGACCATACATCATACAAATAATCTGAATGGCAAGGCTAACCTATCTCAAGGATGCGAGGAATATTCCTCATAATATGAGAGACAAGATGCGCTCACTCGACACTAATATCAAGGCTGATTTTATCCAGAAAGATCGGACGGAGAACATCACTCCTCTCAGCGGGGGAACCGGTGATAGTCGTCGAGGACGCGGCAAAGAATCCAAGGAAGAGACCCAACCTCAGGATCGCAAAGGATCTCGATCACGATCTAGGAGCCGCGGATTCACCTTCAAGGGCCCCTCGTCACCTGGCAAAAAGTTGCGGCGGGATAGTGAAGCATCAAGCCGTCGGCCAAAGTCTGTGGACCTTTCCCAGCCTGTTGGTGTCTACACCACCCTCTCAGCCAATGTTTCAACGGCATCACTTGCTGATGCGGCCGCTGTCGATACCGCAGCGGATCCTTCCGACTTTGTGCATTACCTGAGAGAGATCCAAAAGCCCGAGATGGTTGAGGTGGGGAAGATGCACAAACTACGTCTTCTCCTACGTAACGAAACTGTCCAATGGGTCAATGACTTTATCGCTGAAGGAGGAATGGATGAGATTGTGCAGCTTCTCTACCGCATTATGAAGATGACCTGGCGGTATGTATCCTGTCTTCTCCATTCAGACCAGTAACTAACCCCTCCTACAGCGAGGACCATGAGGACACCCTTCTGCACGAGGCATTGCTCTGTCTGAAGGCTCTTTGCACTACATCTGCCGCCCTGGCACACCTCACTGCTATCGAGCATGAGCTTTTCCCCGCTCTACTGCATATGCTCTTTGACGAGGAAAAGAAGGGCCCGAGTGAGTTCACCACTCGAGGGATCATCGCAAATCTGCTATTCACGCAGCTCTCCACTGCTCCTGCTGGTGAAGAGGCGTCCAAGCGCGCCAAGCAGATCCTTTCTTATTTGAAGGACCCCGCGCCACCAGTGGACAATCAGCCGCTGGCCTTCATTGCTAATATCTACCAATCACGACCCTATCGGGTGTGGTGTAAGGAGATCACCAACGTGACCAAGGAGGTCTTCTGGATTTTCCTTCATCACCTGAATGTGGTTCCCCTCCCCAAGTCGGAGGACCTTTTCGGTGAAAAGACACCAGTAGACACCCGTCCCTACAACGAGCGTCACTTCCCAGTCCCTCGTCCTCCTGTTCCGGCTGCCCCATACGTTGGCGGTGTTGAATGGGATGCGACCAACTACCTTGCGGCACATCTCGATCTTGTGAACGGCTTGATTGCCATGCTGCCTACCCCTGATGAGCGAAACCAACTTCGTGATGAGCTCCGTGCCTCTGGTTTTGAGAAAGTCATGGGTGGTAGTCTGCGTACTTGCAAGGAGAAGTTCTATTCTTCTGTGCATGATTGCCTGCGAACCTGGGTCGCAGCAGCAGCCGATGATGGCTGGCCTTATACCTTTGTGCGCGAAGGCCCACCCCGGGCAGGCGAACCCGGCTCGCCCACCAAATCCCCTAAGAAGTCCGCGCCAGGTAGTCCTAGAAAAGGCCTGGTCGACGAGCGGCCGCCTAGGCTGGAGCTTGCTCTAGACTTCTCGGACAACCGTCCAGCTGCTGGTCCGACTACCCCGTCGAGCGACCTGCGCAGCTGGCTTTAAGAACCGGGTGCGCAACCCCCCGGTTCGATCTAACGAATTTCCCATTCCTCTCTTGTCTTTATTTCCTATCTTCTTCTTTGGGTTTCACATTATCATGACTCGGCGTTAGGGCTGGTCCTCAGCCCCACCCCAACGTATTTTGTTGGAATTTTTTGTTTACTTGACCTTTGGAGTTTATTGGTGGCCTGTTATCTCTGACAGGCGTTGGCATTCTTGGTGTTATTGGCATGTTGACTGCATTTCATTGTCCAAGAGAAGTCCTGCGGACATGATGTAACGAAGCCAAATATTGGCACAGGCGACGGAGCAGAAAGCGAGAAAGAGACTGTTGATATTTCCTGTCTCTTTTTCCTTCTCTCCATGGTACAGCAACGCCTGTTCTTCCGACAGGATTTCTTCATGACAAATGACCTATGAACAGATATGAGAATTGAATGAATCGACAGTTGTTTTATTGAATTTTGAGATTTTCTAGTAGGCTGCAGATGCAAGTAGGGAATCTAGTTGAATATTGTACAAAATGATGATATCAGACACAAATATGACTCGACTACGAGCTCTCCTCAGACGCCGCATTGTCCTTCTGAACCCTTCTCGGACCAGGAGGCGGTGCGCTGGAGAACATAGCCCCAACACCAGCAAAGAATTTCTCCCGAATCTATTAGTTGAAATCATGTTAGCCAAGATACAAACAAGCATGATTCCCAAGAGAAAGCACTTACCACATGGAACACCGTATCCTCCGTCTCCCACTCCATAAACAGCACAGAGTAGACAATAACAACTATGCATAAAAAGTCAGCATCCATCCTCGGAATCCATGCACATTATCCACAAGTCTACACAATCCGTCCCCAGTACCAACGCAAACCCTCAATCTGAACAAAAACTCACATCCAATAATAACCCACTGTCCCAGTGTAACAGCCTTCGTAAACTTCGGCCGCGCATACTTCAGCGCCGCACGACGACGGTACTTGCGCTCAAGCCGGAACTGGTGTTTCGGTGACAACTTCGACATATCCGGTGGCCATTGGCGCTTTGGCTGGTAGGGGCTGTAATAGACATCTTCGAATGAGGGCGGTGGGGAGGAGTCGGGTTTGTTTGCGGAGAGACGGAATGGTGAGGGGTCTTTTGTTGGTGGTGAGGCTTTGAAGGCTGTGGACGGGGTCGTGGTGAAGAGGCGGGGCGTGCTGGGGTTCTGTTGGTAGAGGTTTGTTGTTAGTTTTTGCCGGGTTTTTGGCTTGGAGATCTCCAGAGGCGTTTGGATTCTGGTTTGCTTGGGTGTGCGTACAAGGTGCCATGACGGACGGGTGAGTTGTAGCTTGCAGGATGAGGCGCTTGATAGTGTGCTGGGTGATGTGCGCGCTGATGAGGCGGCGGTTAGGGCGCGTCGGATCATGGGTGTGTGTGTCTGCTTCGTTTGGTTGTTTGGTTGTTGGGAGAGCTCTGTATATATTGGCTGGTGGTTCTGCTCAGGTGGGAGGGAATATCCATGAAGACGAGATGCTTTCCTTGTTTGGTAAGTGAAGTTGCTTACAATTCCTAAACCTGCAAAATACTCCAATAATTCCTCTGATAGCTCAGCTGGAAGAGCGCAAGACTGTAATTGACTCTCTCTTCGGAGAGCTTGTTATCTTGAGGTCCCTGGTTCGATCCCGGGTCAGAGGATTTTTTTTATTTCTTTTGTCTATTTATTGACACTAACTAGTGTAGAGTAACTAGGACAGTTTTAATTTAAGAACGTTCCCTCTCTCCAATATAACTGTTTTCTATTTTTCCTACCGCTGATATATTACTTGAAGGTAACGGATTGGGCATGGATTTTTGCATATATGTGGTTGTAAGTCGTGGGGAACATATAGGTGCGGATCCACACCCCGTGCGAAATATATACATCAACGCGGCCGGCTGGCGTTCTCCAAAGCTTTCGGTGACCAATCTGACCAATGTCCAGTCCATTCTGTATCCCCAGTGGATTGGAACCCGGGGCACAGCTCGAATTCTTTGTTTCTCCCTCCGAATCCGGAAGGCCTGAACAGCTGGGTAGACTCGCACGCCAGAGATACTACCTAGGTACTTACATGTGTTATACCGTCCACAAAGCCAAAACGAGACAGGGAATAGGGATGGCATCGACTCACTAGAGCCCAATGTTAAAGACATGATAGCGGATATACCACTACATGTCAATTTGATTTTAGATTTAACGGCCACTGACATCCCACCAGACACGGCCCCATATCTAAGGTTTCAACCCGCAGAGGCCTGCTTCTTAGGTAGACTAGTGCCATTGGATACCAGCGAAGTTCATGGTCCAACCCCCAAAGAAAAGTTGTCACTCTGCTAGAGTAAGTTGGAATGCGTGGTAAAGCTCTAGGGAATATATACTCTGTCACTCTAGTTCGTAGGGTTCCACCAGGGTACGTGGACTGTGGCTGCACTGAGCCATAGGCACGCGAAGAAACAGACAGCCATCGAAACTCCATATACTTATTTCAAACTCAACAACTTCTGTCAGTGGGTTTCGTCAGACAATCCTACAAAGCCCTGGTATAGATTCCCCGGCCCGGACAGTGACACCAGAAGTACCTGAATGCAGAATCTGATTGAGCGCGCTGGTGGACACTATGTCGAAGTGGGTCGCACAATCTGCTGTACATGTTGGATGACGAAAGCTGCGCGAAACTGCTGAGACTCCAGGTAGCTCTCCGAGTCAGTACCCAGAATGGGCAAGAATAGCGTGAATGGCATGAACACCGAGGCCAATGATAAGCAGAAGCTCAGCCTTCGCAATACTGCAGCTTAAATCAACACCACATGTCGTTCTTCACTCCGAGGGGTGAGATCATTGGCTTGTGGGTGTTTATACACAGCAACACCGGTACCACTTGCGGACGTTGGCGCTTCAAATCAAGCTGCGTTAGAGGGGTGGTTTATCGCCGGATTATCTTGATACTCCCGTGTCGACCAAGTAACCAGTCCATACTGTTAAAAGGATATTATTTTTGACAAGAAATCAGTATTTCAAGGTTGTGATTCGAAGTGGACACCGCTTGGTAGGAGCTACATACACATGTACGTATGTAGGTCTGGCAGGACTGCTTCATAATACTTAAATGTGCGAAGCAACCAATCAAATCCCCTGATAGCTCAGCTGGAAGAGCGCAAGACTGTAATTGATCTTCTCTTCGGAGAACCTGTTATCTTGAGGTCCCTGGTTCGATCCCGGGTCAGGGGATCATTTTTTATTTCTTTCCCGGTTTTCTGTTTTTGTCTCCTTGAAAAGGATATTTGAAACAACCCGGAAGTCCACTCTAAAACTCGTAAGTTATGCTACATATTGCAGTGGGGTTGTATGTACCGTATTTGCATTGCAGGTGCGTACGGACGGGACCTGCATATTGATGCCTCGGTCCCCAGACTCGCAGTCGAATATGTAGCTCTCAATGACATACAAGTCTCTGTCTGCCTTCTCGGTACCTCCATATCCCTATCTAGAGCTCAGAGTCACCACTTGAAGTCGAGACCAAGCTGTCTCAACATCGCTTGGAACATCCACGTGAGCAATGAAGCCACGCCCCCGAGGACCATAGCCATCTTTATCATCCCTCAACCTCGGTATCTCGCCCATAATCAGCTCCAGAAACCGATTTTGCGACCACAACTCTGACGGTGGCGATGCGTCTGAATACTCAATGACCCCGTTACGGGACAATTGCACCTGCGGCACAAACACCGGGCAACTAATAACCGAGACCGGAGATTCGATGTCCTCGTAAGCCTTCTCAAACGATGCCCTGGTCCTGAGCATCATCGTGGGATCCTGAATGACAATGCAAGTGGCTGGTGCTCGAAACCCCGCTCCGTCGAGGACCTCGCGAGAGAATGAAGCATTCTGACCGCAATTCGTAGATCGGGGTTCAAGCAGAACCTGACATCCTTCTTTGGTGATGAGAGATCGATCGAAGAACTCATTGAGAATTCGTTCGAGAACCTTGGCTTCAGGGAGACCTTGGACCTCATGGGCGATCCGTGAGAAGACTGGATGAGATTTCACTGCATGGTAAAGGAGCTCAGTTGAGTGCCCGATGCCGCCGCACAGTACGAGAGCTTTGGTAAGAGATGGCTTTTGCTGAAGAGTCTTGAAGAGGACCTCGGCACTGTGGAGAACGGCTGAGGCGCATATGACAATGCAGTCGACTGGGGATGTGGTGGAGAGATCGGGCAGTTGATTATCGCTGAGAAATTTAGACAAGAGGTTGATATCATCGACCATATAGGAATTTGCGGTCATTGCGTTGGTTCAAAGTAGTTCGTCGGGAAGACAGACCACCACCAGACAGGTAAGTCTTTTGAAGTGACACAAAAAGTACATGAGAAAAAAAATAAAAAAATCCTCTGACCCGGGATCGAACCAGGGACCTCAAGATAACAGGTTCTCCGAAGAGAAGATCAATTACAGTCTTGCGCTCTTCCAGCTGAGCTATCAGAGGATGTGATGGTGAAATTTCCCTTTTCTTGATCCATGAACCATATCTCAGTAGTTAAAGACTAACTATTCAGCTGTTCTAATTTCACATATCGATATTATGTTGAGATAGGCTCCGACATATGATGTTTGCATATGATGTTTGTGCATATAGCACCTGAAAACATATGGAGTTATGAACACTCCCAATGCCGAGCTGATCTTCTTACATGACGTCGTAAAGACGTCTGCATGTGATATACAATTTCACATGCCCCATGATCCACCACTCGGAGATCCCGTGACTGCCCCGGGTCAACAATGATGCGGCCAAATGGACCTCGGTACTTTCTCAGAATGCGACAGCGGCCAGCTACGGCCGTCCAAAGGGGGAAATACCACCGATTCCACGGCCCTGATTTATAAACCACCGCTTCCCCGGATATTTGGCCTACTTTCTTATCCTCACTTTTGCCCTGTTCTTCATCCTCATCCCTCTCCTATACCTCCATCACACATTGACGTCATGTCTAACGGTGAGTGATGTGCATGTGACAGCCCATGGCCATGTATTCAACAGAATACTGGCTCTCTGGTGGCTTGTTGCGAGTTGATCGAAACAGAAACAGCATACTAATTCCATCTATAGCCCAGCAACGTCTTAGCCAGGTTTCCTCCCACTTCGGCCCTGGTGGCAAGAAGGGAGCCGCCGCTATCACCGAGAAGCACCCCGATGACATTGTCGTGACATGTGCCCTGCGCACAGCCCTCACCAAGGGTGGTAAGGGTGGCTTCAAGGATACCGCTGGCGCTGACCTGCTTGCCGGTGTCTTTAAGGCTGTTCTAAACAAGAGCGGTGTTGACCCCAGCACTGTCCAGGACATTGCCGTCGGCTCCGTCCTTGCCCCCGGTGGTGGTGCCACTGAGTTCCGTGCCGCCGCTCTCGTGGCTGGTTTCCCCGAGAGCACCGCTGTGAAGAGCTTGAACCGTCAATGCTCTAGTGGTCTCCAGGCTATTGCTGATATTGCCAACGCCATTCAGTCTGGCATGATCGATGTCGGCATCGGTGCCGGTGTTGAGAGCATGTCCTCTCAGTACGGGTATGTTCCAGGCCACATATTCCTTCGTTCAATAATAATATGACTAACAACTTGATACAGACCCGGTGCCGTGACCGAGTTCTCCGACCTCCTGGAGAGCCACCCTGAGTCCGCAAACTGCAAGGTTCCCATGGGTGTGCTGTCCGAGAACATGGCCAAGGACCGTGGCGTGACCCGTGCTTCCCAAGACTCCTTCGCCGCTCAATCATACCAGAAGGCTGTTGCCGCCCAGAAGGCCGGTCTCTTCAACGAGGAGATCGCCCCTCTCTGACGTGAAGTGGACCGACCCCAAGACTGGCGAGGAGAAGACCATCACCGTGAAGGCCGACGACGGCATCCGCCAGGGTATCACCGCCGAGTCGCTTGGCAAGATCAAGCCCGCCTTTGCCAAGGACGGCTCCATCCACGCCGGTAACGCCTCCCAGATCTCCGACGGTGCCGCCGCCGTCCTCCTCATGAAGCGGTCCACCGCCGAGCGTCTGGGCCAGAAAATCCTTGGCAAGTACGTCACTGCCAGCGTCGTCGGCGTGAAGCCCCTGCTCATGGGCGTCGGCCCCTGGAAGGCTATCCCCGTTGCACTCGAGAAGGCCGGCATCACCAAGGATGACGTCGACATTTACGAGATCAACGAGGCTTTCGCTTCCCAGTGTGTCTGGTGTGTTAATGAACTCGGCATCCCTGCCGAGAAGGTTAACCCCAAGGGTGGTGCTATTGCTTTCGGTCACCCTCTTGGCTGCACTGGTGCCCGCCAGGTCAGCACTTTATTCACTGAGCTCAAGCGCACAAACAAGAAGATTGGCGTCACCAGCATGTGTGTCGGTACCGGTATGGGTATGGCCGCTGTCTGGGTGTCGGAGTAAACGAAACATGTTTGGATTGTATATTTGCACAGCGATTTGGCTTTTTAGCCCCTTTTTTCTATTTCATATACACAGATTTCTCGTTATGTATTGAATACTTCGAATACCAAAAGATTAGAACTGCATATATATGTCTGTGTACATGTCTGCTCCGTATTTGATAGCAGTATCGCTGTAGACTCCGTACAGGTGATTCTCTGAGCCTGGTCCAGGTCTTCCCAGTTTCATCACCCACTATATAATTCTGTTGTATGTATATACATTTGGCTGGAAGAGTAGGCTATCAGCGGAATTTCTTAAAAGCATCAGTGACACTCATTCCCTGCGCAACAGCCTCCCTGGCCTTGTCATCCATTGCGGTCAGTTTAGGCATCAGCTCAAGAACCTGACCAAGCAGCTCACGAGGAATGGCCACTACCCCTTCCAAGGGATCACAGAAGATAATGTCTCCCTATAATGCATTGCAATGATTAGATCCTGAACTCGACCAAGAAGCAAAAAGCAATCAGCGAACAGCACAGCAGCTAGAACTCACAGGCGAAACAGTAACACCCCCAATCGAGATTGGGACATCACGAGCACCAGCCTTAGCCTCGGCATTAGTGCCAACAGTAGAAGTAGCACGAGCCCAGATCTACCATCAGCCGGAAAAGCAATCAGTAACACGAACGAACAAAACCATGAGAAACCAAGACAAACCGGAAACCCAGTAGCTTTCAATTCCTTCAAGTCCCTGACCCGACCACCCACAACCGTGGCTTTGATCCCGAGGGCTTTCATCCGGGTCGCCATGATCCCGCCCGTCACGGCACAGTGCTGGTTCTCAGGCTGCTCAATGACGACAACGGATCCCGCGCCAGAAGGATCTGACGCTTGGAATTCGCCGACGTGGTCTACCCAGTGCTTACCCGGCGGGAAACCGTGCTTCTGGGGGTTTTCTGTCGCGATTGATGGTGGGCTGGCGTCTTTGGCTAGAAATTTGAATGTTGTTGCCGGCGCCGCAATCCTGGGCATTGATTCATTTCGTCCTGTTGTGGGGGAAAATGGTACTGGTGGATGTGTGTGAGTGGGATTATTGAAGATATAGATAGAGGCTTTGGTGAGATGTTGGTGGCCTACCTAGATCTGCGAGGTAGCCTGCTCTTGCTGTGCTGCCCTCGGGCGTCTTTTGTAATTTGATGAGGGCGTCTGATACCTGGGAATTAGAATGTTAGATGTACTTAGTGGTTCGATGGCTTATGTTGGCATACATCGCAGGGTGAGAAGTTCTCAATCAATGTCGCAAGTTGCTCGTTTAGTGTAGTCATTGTTCAGATGCGGGGTTCACGAGGGGTAATATGCTGTTCAATTGTATAGATAGTTGGACTGTACAAAGTAGAATTTAGACAAGAAGTAATAGAGGAACGTGCTGAACCCAAAGATCCATTCGCTGATCAGTCGAAGCACATGTCCGTAGGTCCGGATATCGGATGAATACTACATCATCGGAGATCTATAACTCGGAGTGTTTCAAGGCACATTTCACAAGGTTATTGCTTAGTTTGAGATATTGTGACACTGGCTATAATTAGAATCTATATTTACTACATTTCATGTACAAAATTGACTATTATGCCTGGAATGTAAGACTGTTCCTCACGAGGGTCATAGCCGAGGTGATGGATAATATCTCCCGCATGCACAACTCGCACAGCTTGCAGGAAACGTGGGGTATAAAGAGATTATTAGGACGATATATTCTTAAACACCAAAGCAAAGATAGATCCAATATTGCTCGTTAGTAGTATATATACTACTACTGCAACTACCGGGACTCGTGTCTTCCATTGCCGATCTTCTACTGGACCTATTTACCCCCACCAGTTTAAAGCGGGGGCATCATTTGTGACGCATTTCCAAGGTTACTGAGTTTCATTATAGATCCAATGTAGTATGACTAGTGCTACAGATAGGGGAAAATGGGCGCCTTCTAAGCTGTAGACTATGACTATATGTATATGCATTTTCAACCAACATTCCAAGTCTCTGTCTATAACAGCTGAATTGTGTGTAGACCACAGGTATTCTCTAGTATAGCCGAGCACTATAAAGTGCCGTCGCGGAGACAACCTTGGATGTGCGGAAAAATGTGGGGAGCCCAATATTGGTCATCAGAATGACAATCACATAGAGAGAATGGAATAATTCCGATCCTCGATCGTCGTAGTGGAAGAAAGACAATTCATTCATCCAAACACAACCAAAACAACAACGAACCCTGACAATGGCGCAAAAACCCACCTATACCGATCAACAACTGGAGTTATACTTGAACCGTATCGGGTACTCCAACTCCGCTCAATCCGAGAACAATCTTCAGCATCTCCGCCAGCATATCGAGAATGACGCACTTTCTGCGCTGTCTGAACTCCAAAGGCGACATCTCACTGCCATTCCATGGGGCAACTCGGCGCTGCATTACTCGCAACATCATACTATCTCTCTGAACCCGCAGAATCTCTTTGAGAAGATGGTGGAGCGGCGGCTAGATGGGTACTGCATGGAGAACACGGGGATCTTCTTTATCGTCTTGCGGTCCCTGGGGTACCTAGTTTACGCCACTGGAGGTCGAGTCAGTCATGCTGCGTCGAAGGGAGTGGATAATGGATTATATTTGTCCTTGTAAGTGCTCCGACAGTTTAGCATTCCGAGCGGAGCTGACATTGATCTGCCAAAGTGGACATATGATTCTGATTGTGGTAATTGACGGAATGAAGTACATGGTACGGCATGAAGATCGACTGCAGCTACCGCATGAACCATACTGACGGATATGGACAGGTTGATGTCGGCTTTGGAAACAATTGTGCCACTGCTCCATTATTACTTCAAGAGGGTGCTACTGCTACGGCTATCGCGCCATCCGAGATGCGGATTGTCAGAGAAAGCATTGCCGAGTTCACAGACCCAAATCAAAAGATCTGGATCTACCAAACAAGATACAACCCCGAGAGCAAGTGGCTGGATCAGATCTGCTTTTCCGACGTGGAGTTCCTACCCCAGGATTTCGGTGTCATGAACTTCTCCGTCAGCCAGAGCCGAACCAGCTGGTTTACCCAGGTGTTTGTCTGCATCCGGATGATTTTGAACCAAAGTGGCACAGAAATCATTGGCCAGTGCGTTATGTCGGGTAAAGAAGTCAAGGAGAGATTGCGCGGGCAAACGGAGATCTTGCAAGTGCTGGAGACCGAAGAGGACCGCGTCAAGGCACTGGCCAAGTATTTCGATATGCACCTTCGTGAGTCTGAGATCCAAGGAATTCGGGGAATGACCTCGGAGATCAAGTAGACATGACGGAGCGGACTACTAAGGAAACCCGAGAGAATAATTGATATGGTACAACGTTTCTAGAGAAATTGCAGTGGATATGTATGATCACGGAGTAACGAAGGCGCAGACATTGAACGTAAAGGAAAAGAGGTTGCAATTTTTGAAACTAGTAGATCCGGTTCTCGATCTATGCCTCGGGTCAGCGTTTCTGCCTGGGGCCTGGAATCCAAGGAACACAGAATCTGTTATTCGTACCTTCCATGGGTTGCTGACATCGAATCCGGTGGGCGCTTGGTGGTTGCTGGACTGCCCTCGGAATGAGCCTGTGATGCGCTGATCTCTCTCCATCACTATGGTTGGTTGTGGTTAGTCTCATGTATAATTCTTCTCAGGCGCTTTTTGGCCCGCCAATAAGCTAGCAAGCACTCACTTTGCTGTGAAATTGTTAGCCAATGTGCCTTATGCAAGTTCCGACCGCAGCCGACAAGGATGGAAACCAACTTACTCTATCCCACAGGTCGCGGTTCCAGCGCGCCTTCTTGCCATCGTTGGCAAAGCGCTTGACGTAGTGAAGACCGTAGCCAGACACACCAAACATCTGTAGCAATTGGTGAGCTAAAGTCATCGAAGGCATTGACCAATGGCACGTACGGTGATGATAATCCCATAGGGAAGCAGGGCCTCAAAAGGGACACCCATGGCGTGCGGTTGTATGGGTATGTAGACGATCAGAAAAAGGTGTTAAAGTAGAATCAAGAGCCGTCAAGCCTCTTGCGGACTGAGGGGAGGAGATAGGTCGCGGATAGTGTGGAGGGGAGTGTCTCTTCCTACAGCGACGGGCTTGAGGTCTCCTCCACCAAAAGTGGTTTAGCGTATGATGACTCAGCGCGCTGCAACGACACTCACAGGACAGGGGCGTGAAGGCCGCTGCAGATCGCATTCGATTGTAAAAGAGACAGGCCCCGGTGTATGGACTGTCTGTCGACGCGTCTGGTACGCTTTTGAATCAAAGATTGCACTGGTTTCTCTTGGGGTGAGTTTCCTCTGTTTTGCGACGCGCTTGCGATGCCTAGCCACTCCAGCGGCGGACTGACACCTCTTGTTTGTTTAGCTCCCACTTTGCGCCTGGAGACTTTGAGCGTCAATATCGACCAATACTTGTGTTCGTAAATATCTTCGGTGCCACTCCAACTAGCCTCGAACCCGCTTTTGATCCAGATGCGCTCCCGGATCAGCGCCGACGTCAGCGGGGTGCTTCTGTAACCGGATCGGTTTAAGCTTTCTTTCACGGAAAAAGATACCTCAGTCAACCTGAGCGTGTACAACAAGCACTGCTGTGCTCAACCTGGCGGTGGCGGTAACTTTCACTATGGCGGCGACGGCGCCGCCAGCAAACGATGAATCGGGCAAACTCGACCCGCCTGTGGACCCAACGGATAGCGACCTAGATGCGGAGGGCGAAGAAGAAACCGACTTGTATGAAATGGATCAACGGCTTCAAGATGCAGTTCACCGAGCATACACTGGAGAAGTTGATGAGGATGGCCCGGAGGAAGCTGTGGATGGAAACAACCCAAGCGTCAATGGGTTGAACGGCGAAGATGATGATGACAATGACGAGGCCGAACCAGTTGGAGCTGTTAAGCTACCTGACGATGACGCGGGTTCTGAAGAAGACTATGCGGAGTCTGAGACAGCCGACGCGGATGCCGATCCCGGGTTTGAGGCAAATGCCCGTGACGCTTCAGAACCCGAATCAAGTGACCACGAGTCAGAAGCCGAAGACTGGGAAGCTGAGAGCAATGAGCGCGAGGATGTCGAGACTGATATTCGTAGTAGCTCAAATTGCTTGTAAGTGGAAGGGCTCGATGCAGCACTTGGCGCAGAATGAGGAAGTTTAGGTGCTAACAACGGACAAACAGGGTTTGCAGTCAAGACGAGGAACACGACCCAAGCGAAGATTTTGAGGAATGGCTCACTTGTGTTGTGTGTGGTGATCACTGTCCGTTTGCCTTTTACCCCGATTATGCTAGACCATCGCTGACTCGATACCCCAACAGCTCATCGGCAATGCGCTCGCGAACAAGACGCATTTGATGAAACGGAAGGTACGCAAACACATGGTCATTGACTGCTACTTTATCACTCCTCACCTCTTTAATGCATTACGCGCTCTAACATCGCAACACCCCAGGCCCATGGAGATGCCCCAGCTGTGTTCATAACAATCTAGAGCCCGACACGATAACAAATTCAGCAACAGAAACCGGACTCGGAGCCCGGGCCCTTCCCAAAGAGCTTCTACCTGCGCACGCTGGCACACACGACGAGGGATTCCATTCTATCTTTAACACAGGCGTTGACGACGAGATGCTCAATAGCTCGCGGTCGCTACGCAAGCGAAAGGCCTCGTCAATCGAGGCCGAAGAACACACACCGGTGCTTCGCAAAAGACTTCGACAAACATCTTTCCGCTCCGATCGCCCCATTTTGAATGATGCGGCCTTGGAGGGCGGGGATGTCACTGCTGATGGCGATGTCCACTCTCCTGCTCGGACACGTTCTGTCCGCGTGCGACGCACTCGCGCAGTGGACCGAGAGCACTGCCGCGTGGTAGCTAGGCAGTACGGGAAATTGATTATTGGGTTCCGGCTGGAAGAGGCAAAAATGTCTAAAATAACTGGCTCTCAAATCCGATCGCAACGCAAGAAGAAGAAAGCACCAAAGCCGCCGCCTGTGGCCCCAGAACCCCAGGCACATTTCGTTCCCCTCCCCCCCATATCCTACAACTCCATGACTTTGTTCGACCGTGAGACCGACGACGCCAAATCAAAACCATATGGAGGCATTCTGTCCGAAGTCGACCAAGATACATCCAGAACACTCCCTACACAATTCGATCGCGACCGCTTCGAACAGGCACGTCTAAAAGCCGAAGATGAATGGCAACAGAAAGTGAAGGAAGCAGAACTCAATGGCGAAACCACTGTGCATTCATCACAAAAGGTTTCTGGCCCTCCTTCAAAGATCAAATCCATCAACTTCGGTGGCTACGAGATCGAAACCTGGTATGCAGCGCCCTACCCGGAAGAATACAGCCGCAACCGTGTTCTGTACATTTGCGAGTTCTGTCTCAAGTACATGAACTCGGACTTCGTCGCCTGGCGCCATAAACTTAAGTGCCCTGCAAAGCATCCCCCCGGTGACGAGATCTACCGAGATCGATCAATCTCAATCTTCGAAGTTGATGGGCGCAAGAACCCGGTGTACTGTCAAAATCTTTGCCTTCTCGCAAAACTTTTCCTAGGCTCCAAGACTCTGTACTACGACGTTGAACCATTCTTATTCTATGTCATGACTGAGTTTGACGATCTGGGCTGTCATTTCGTTGGCTACTTCAGTAAAGAAAAACGTCCAAGCTCAGCGAACAACGTTTCCTGCATTCTTACTCTACCAATCCATCAACGCAAAGGCTACGGAAACCTCCTCATCGACTTCTCATACCTCCTTACCCGCATCGAAGGCAAGAATGGATCGCCCGAGAAGCCGCTCTCCGACATGGGTCTAGTGTCGTACCGGAACTACTGGCGATTGATTTTATCATACCAACTTCGCGATTTGAAGACACCTATCAGCATTGCGGATCTGTCTGATCGCACCGGAATGACGGCAGATGACATTGTATCTGCCCTTGAAGGACTCCGAGCTCTTGTGCGGGATCCCATCACCAAGACGTACGCCATCCGTCTCGATCACAAATATTACAACGAGGTCATCAGTGGCTGGGAAAGCAAGGGCTACGTTCAGCTCAATCCAGATGCGCTGCTCTGGACACCTTACATTATGGGTCGTAGTAACCAGTCTCATTTCGATCGTGCTCCTATACATACCGTCGCCCCTCGAGAGGACCCAGATGAAGATGAAGAGGAGACCGAGGCAAGAGCGACCAACTATGAGGGCAATGGCCGAATGCCGAATGCGTCGAATGGAGACACTCTCGCAGACTCCGCTGGACCGCCTTCCACATTGGCTCTGCGGCCTAATGGCTCCAGCCATCATACAGTGAGCAACTCTGAAACATCCGCAATCCCCAACCCTGCTGCTGGAATCCCACCCTCCCGGTTCGAACTTTGGCCTCCTGTGCCTCCCGCAGCACCCCCCAAACGCAGACCTGGTCGCCCATCTGGTAGCACCAAACTGAATAGCATGTCAACGACACCTACGGCCGCTCGTAATAACGGCCGCAACACACCTCGACGACCCTCCGGGTTGGCAACGGTCACCCCCGGAGGCAGCGTTCGTCGCGGGAGAAGATCTATCCTTACGGACTCGCCCGCAGCTGAAGCAACACCTAGCCAGGCCAATGGCGTTGAACCGGAGAAGACTGAAGTTGCTGAGGAAGAAGCCGTCGTTGATGGGGATGCCGAAAATCTGGCTCCTGATCTTAAGGAAACTGCAGATGTGAGCGAAAAAGAACCGGAGCATGTTAATGGAGATGCTGCTCCCAAGGAGCCTGTCAAGACCAATGGCATTGCTGCTGCCGATTCAGAGCCGTCCGAGGACAAGGACACGGAGGCACCCAAGACCCCCGAGAAAAAGACCAACTCCATCTCACGGTCACCTGGAACAGCGGTCTCCCGTCGATCCAACGATAACCCCAAGACACCGCGATCAGTCAGCCGGAAGGCTTTGGTCGAGAAAGTTCACGTTATGATCCCTGCTGAGCCAGGATCTGCTTCCAAGTCACCAGCCAAAGGCGAGGACCAAAAGGCTGTGGCCAATACCAATGGCACCGACGCAGATTCAGACGCGGATGCAGACGCGGATGCGGATGCCGACATTGACGCCGAGTACGAAGTGGATGGGGATGTCGTGATGCAGACATGATAATCTTGAAGCTCATGATTCGAGGAGGTTCCTTTTTGCCTGCAAAGCAAGTTACGCATGTGGACAGGGCGTTTGTTTTAACGAAATTTTCTGATTCCTTTATTTCTCCCTTCTCTTTTTTTTCACGTGTCCCCGGGAACTGCATTGTCCCACCGTTTGATTTAATATCCTTTCTCCATTTCTTTTCTCGTTCGAAGGCTACGTACGTTACGCTAAGTGGGCATGCAGGGGCGATAGGGGTGTCGTGCGACACTCGTCAATCCCCTTTCATTCATTTACTACTAGTCGCCTTTTCAGGGATTTCATCCAGCACGGAGCAGGGATGGGGGTGTCTGGAGTTTACTTTTTTGCTTGGGTGTTTCTTTTCTCTTTCTATCTAGTTGCGACGAATGAGTACAGTGTGTGATTAGCATATCTTATGTCAATGTACCAATTACTGGGTAGCTCTTTTCTCTAGTGTCCATATGGAATAGATCTGTGCCTTGCATGTGATATATCAAAGAATAAGTGTCATGTCGCGCAGGACATGCTGGTAAACGTCAAAATGGGAGAGACCTGTTAGGTAAAGTGCCGAAACTGGAGAAAGAAGATTAAATTAAAAAGTCTAGACATAATAGCCAATCATATTCGCAGCACTTCCCTGTATACGAGGAACACAACGTCCCTGGTTACATAGAAAAGTGTACCATCCACAACTTCCCGCCTTCTTCGGCCATTTAGGTACATAGCTATAAAATGAGAAAGGGGAGAGACGAAGACTATTCAACATACTAGTAAACAGACTACTCCGCACTAAATATATTAATAAAGAGACTTGGCAATGCCGCATAAGCAGCCGACTATTCTTGTAATCCTTGATCTTGATAGCTGTGGCTGATCAGCGGCTATCTGATGTGTTCGACTGGGGGGGCCATACTGCGCGAACTACTCCGTATAATCCTTGCAGTACTAGAATGACAATAGTTTTAGACGACAGAAATAGACAGAAACATCGAGCAATAGTCATGAAAATCACAATTATGCCTGAGTCTATTGAGTATCCCACAACGGGAGGATTTCAGGCCAACCCTTTTAGGAAGGTGAGATTTGCATTGGGATACTCAGCCGGGGGACGGTGGGATCAGCTTACCAATACGGAGCACAGGTGATACCAACTGTCATTTTTAAGGAACATATAGATCAGAAGGATACGAGATCATACCTCTCGTTATAACAATAATATAGTAAGCAATGTATAGTCCCGACAAAGCACCGATCGACAAAAGATCGGCATGGCGCCAACACGGACACCTGGGCAGCTGTCAGGAAACACAACCATGGAACGGGCCCCAAACCACCATGGAACCATCACAGGCCAACATTTAAGCATAAACACACGCCCACTTAGCAGCTCCTAACCACTGGTTCTTAATGGAGATGCCGCTGTCATATATGCGCCCTTGATTTTTATGGTTGTTCGAGGTACTCCGTATAATAATTCACTTCACCGGTCTGAGTCTAAAAATTTCCCTATCCCGCCCCGTCCAGTACCGTGTTCAGAACTCCATAGTGCTCCATCGCCCCCCTTCTTCCTTTTCCCTCGGCCACTTCGTGCGTTGAAGTGCCGAACACGGGTTCGTTCGACTACTTGGCCTTTTTGGGTTCTCCACGGGTCTCTTTTCAGTTTGTTTTGGTCCTCTTATTACTGTAGTCAGTAGAACATCCCCGACACTAACAAGTTCCCGGTTTTTCCAATCGGGGCCGCAGTGGATTTTGGCCAGGGTGTGCGTTGTACTTTTAAATTGGGAAAAAAATTCGCAAAATTCGCTTCCTTTTTGGCGGTCACTTTTAATTTTTCGTTTTTCGCACTCGAACTTTCTTTTCTTCTTTTCTTTCTTCTTGTCCCTACTTGTTAGCACCAGTATCACATTCACCTTCCGCCCAATTATTCCATCCTGCGTCTGGACGAGTCATGATAGTTTTCACAGCCAAATCATGACCCTCCAACAGAGGAAATGGCGGCTTTCCCCGCCATGACCAAGATCAGACTTAGGACTTCTGTCCTGGCGCCGGACCCGAATCCCGGAAGTCAAAAGAAAGTGACAGGTCGTGCTCCCAGCGCTGGGGCTTGCTTGTCGCATAATGATGTGCATCTAGGGCTTTGGAGTTTTTTTCGGGCCTATCAACTGCATTCCCAGGAACTTGTCGCTCGGGCACAATGCAATGGACAAGAACCGCAGTTCAGGCCTAGCGAGACCAAACAATGCCCACACCCTGAATATGTCTTCCCGCTTTCGAACCCCTCATTTTACTTTTTTCTCTCTCTTCCTCCTCATTCGACCTCCCATTTTTGTCAGCTTATACTTATCGCGAATCGCAGACGCTATTCTCTGGGAGCTGAGCACTGGCGTCAGGAAACCCCACAGCGGGTCCCATCTGCTCCAGGGATGGACTTGCCAATACCGATATGACTCTGGCTGCATGATCAAATATTGGGGCCGGACTTTTGTCAGGCTGATCGGCGCTTTCTGATTGAAATGATTGAAATCGATTCCTGCTGTCCTCACCCTTGCATATGATCGCTGGTATCAAAGCTCCCATGATGTGGAGATAGGTGAACTGTGACAAGAATGCTTGTCATAGCCAACTGCACCTGCAGCCCTCCGTATCACATTGGCGGGCGATGATCATCGCTGTGATGCCATCTCGACCCTGACCCCAGAATATCTGCATGCAAGTTAGGGTTTGCGATGTCTTTTTATTCTGGTTAATCCTGCCAAGAAAAGGACCTGATAAACGAAGAGGACGAGCGATCTCCCAAGCCCAGACAATGTGGGATGCAAGTTTCTCGGCAGGACACAGCAACTAATGCCTTAGGATGGATCCACCTCTGCACAGCAGATGCAGCCATACCCATCTGGAAGGTGATTGAACTGGAGGGGAAAAAAGTACACATTCTCAGCCGCAAATCGAGGGCCAACGAGTGTGGCGGAAACCAGCCCCCGTAGTCCATACTAGAAAGTACCGGTTTATCTTTTTTTTTGTTACCACAAACTCCCGATCTGCGAGCTGCAGGACTGCCCCAAACCAGTCTCCGGTATTGATGTGTTCTTTCTTTTCGTTGGCTGATGCATGACCGGCTCTATAGCTTGATCGAGGGATTTCCGGTCGGTGCAACCAACCAGCGTCCACACTGGTCCCCAACTGCAGTCGATATACAGTAGCTTGCATGCGATCTTGGGCCTGCATGTCTCTCAGGAAATGTGACGCGTCACGAGGAAAGCCCTTGGTGCAGTGGTGCGTTGTTCGTTGCATTTCCCCCTTAAACTCCTTGTCCCAGTCTCCTGCACTGCGTTGTGGGTTTTCCTCCTTGATTCTCCTCAACTCCTTCTCTCCTCTCTCGCTTCCCGTCGCATCATGACCCGGCATGTATGGTTTCGTCGTCTCGGATCGGAATAAGGTGCTCGACCAGCGCTCTCGGGCTTTACGTGCCACTGCACGCGATTGTATCTGTGGGCATCATCTTTCTCGATCATCTTGTCTGTGACTGTACCGGACCTCTTTCGAATGCGTGTTGAGTGCTTTCACCTCGAGCTCCGACATTCGCGTCTTCAAGTGGCACACGCAAGCTCAAGCCTGCGATCGAAGAATTCACGATATTCGAATACTGGATTTATCACAGGAAGAATCATTCGCAAGAAAAAGGTATTGTCACTTCAATTATTTTTTGTTTGTTTAGGGGGATTTAGGGGGAGGTGCCCAAGCGAATGTGGGAGTCCTAGGGCCTGAAGGCATTCTTTGGTTCGGGATGACATAAGGAAGTTAGCCAACCATGGTTGGAAACCTTTGACAAGCGGCAGCGATATCCGCGCTTGTTGGGAAGTCCTCTTTGAACTTCCCAAAAAAAAAAAGGGATTCCTTGCTGTTTGAACATCCAAGCTAATCATTCCAGGATTGAGATCGAGTGTGGAGACACAGGCACAATCCCCAGACATAGGCGATGCGGCTTGATCGTGCATATCCCCACTTTTGACTGGAATGCTTAGACGCCGGACCAGGGCCCGAGTCCACCTGGCGTTTAAACACCCATTACGGCACGACAAGAAAACCGGGTCTGATCACCTGCATAGCCGGCGCCAACCCTTGTGGGTTTCTTTTTTATATGATCATAAAGAAACAGACGCGGACTAACGGACTAGCGGTTCGCCGTTTCTTCCTTTCGGACCAACGAGAAAGAGAAGTGAGCCAGAAGTTTACTGCGCATCCGGATCGCCATTCGCCCCCTCAACCGTGGGTAGCTGAACCTATTCCACTTTTCTTTCCGTCTACGGTTTTAATTCCTATTTTTTTTTCCCTTTTTTTCCCTTTTTGGTCTCTTTTTCCAAGGCAAAGTCCACGGGTTACACTTGGTCTTTATCCACCTCAGCTGCTCTCGTTTTTGAAGAGATTGCTACTGTGGTAGACAATTCGAGGATCTCTTTTTTTTTCGGATCTCCCTATTTTTTTGACTGCTTTTTATTTTTTTTTTTTGATTATAATCCTGGATAATTCATTGGGTTAGTCGAAATTTTTTTTCCCCCTTCTATTTTTCTTTTTGCTTTTTCTTTTGTGGGATTCTGGACTCTGATTTGTTCATGACTGAGAGATTTGGAAGCCTGTGATCCAATTGATTTTCTGAATTTTTTTTTTCTGAATTTGAATCTTTTTTTTTTCCCTTTCCCCCCCCAGTTTATTGATAAATTCATTTAGATTCCAATCTCGGAATATCTACTATCGGGGCGCCGTTATTCAAGAGAGAGCCGCTTAAGGTTTTTGTCTGGAACCGTGCTCGGTTGGCTCTTTCCGCTTGCAAACTGACGACACCACTCCGTTTTCGTCACGTTCGACACATCCATCTCTCACTCTCTCTATCTCTACAGCTTCGTCCTTCATTTGTCCTTCTCTTTCCATGGTTCGACTTTGAGGAAACAGAAAAAAAGAAAAAGAAAAAAACTCATTACCCCACTACAGCTGCCACCCCTCACGACATCGTGACTCGTCCAGGGTTCTTTTCCCTGCCTGTCCTTATCTTCTCTGACCACTGGATTTCTTTCGGTCCAAAGACCCGTTCCTTCTTTTCATTTTCCACTTTACTTTGTAAACCACAGATCACTTGAAACTGGTCTCTTGTATTCCCGAGGATCGACTCTTCGTATCTGCTGGTTCACTACCTGTCAAAGCAACCTCAGATTTTGGGGGCTCTCTCCACCTTTCCTTGTTTGTCTGTGACTCGTCTTGATGAGTGCGACATTCTCCGACGCCTCTCTCTCGCGCGAAGCTCAGGGGTGAGTCGTTCTTCCCGTGTCTACTTTGACAGGGTCGCAACTCTTACGCGGTCGTCCAGGGAATCCCACTGACAATGTTGAACAACACCAGTTCTGACTTTGACTTGATCATTCGCCAGCAGCCCAATAGGGCCCGCGTGGCGGGGGGGCAAGGAAAAAGGTACGTGGAAGCTTCTTGCTCTCCTCTCTCTCTCTCTTTGTCTTGTTCCTAGCTAGTCCCCGTGAAGCGGGGAGGCGCGGAACTGACAGAAAAGGAACCGGATCTAATGGCGCCTACAGAGCGCAAACCTATCGATCCGCCCCCGATCGTCCAGCTCCGGGTGCGGGAGGAGGGCACCTACCTCGCACAGTAAGTGTGCATTTCACTGAGGCTTTGCGCGGGTAGCTGACTTTGGCGCAGACATTACCTGCAAAGCCCTTACTATTTCATGTGCTGCAGTCTGTACGATGCAACAGAAGAGCGTCCTGTGCCCGTCGCACCGTCAACTGCGTTAGCAGGAACCCTAGTTTCGTCCCTTCACCGGTTGAAGGACGTGGACAACAGCGGTTAGTTCTGGCTGGTCTTGGAGTCGCGGGCCTTGTTCACTGACAGGTTTTTGTAGATGGAGGATTTTTCGTCTTTGGAGATCTCTCTGTGAAGATTGAGGGCGAGTTCCGCCTGAAGTTTACCTTGTTCGAGATGCGAAAGTGAGTAGCACGGTCGGGAGCCTAGCCCAGCTTCAATAGCTAACAAAGAGTCAACAGGGACCGTGTCTCCTATTTGAAGACTGTTATCTCAGAGCGGTTCACAGGTATGAATCTGCGTGAAGAGAGCTGGCACAGTTGAGTTCTGACAAGCTTGCAGTCTCCCCTCCTAAGAGCTTCCCCGGAATGATGGAGTCAACCCACCTTTCCCGATCATTTGCGGATCAAGGTGTGAAATTGCGCATTCGAAAGGAACCTCGGACCATGTTGTAAGTGCTATGAACCCATGGGAATGTGAAGGCGTGTAGTTAACAGCCGCAGGAAACGATCGACACGACCAGACGAGTTCCATCAACCAGTCCCCACTCGATCTCCGGAACGTCAGCCGGTGCAGATCCCTCCATCATCTAGCTATGGAGGCTATCCGCCGGCGGCCCGAGATTATGGGTACTACGGTCAGCAGCCGCCGGTCAAGCGTCATCGTACTTCGATCGACTATGGCAGACAGCAAGGCCTCTATGATGTGGATGGTCGAATGGCCCGTCAAATGGATCCATATGGCCAGCCAACAGCTGCTATGTACGCTGGTCAGCCAGCAGCCTATCAAACGCCAGCCGCCATGCAGACTTATAACACAGGACAGGTGGTGCCTGATTACACGGCGGTTCGTACTCCTAACCCCCGATTTGCAGATTTTGGGAGCTCTTTGAGCTGACCTCGGTGGATAGATGTACCCTGGCATGCAAGCGTCAGCAGGCATGCAAGCATCAGCTCCCATGTCCCAGATCCCCAATCCTACCGGTCAAAGCCGATCCAGCCAGCAGCAGCAGGCCGCTGTGGGACAACTGATGGCGATGAACCAGCCTGGCACTCCTGTACGACACCCCTCTGCGAACCAGTGAGAGTGTGGAATAGAACACCTAGCTAAGGATTTTGGAACCGAGACAGACCCCGGATTCGACTGGAGCCATGATGGCTCAGGGATATGCCCGTTCCGGATACCCTCCTAGCTCAACTATACTTCCTCCTCTCCAGCGGAGCCGCGACTATCCCCAAGGAACCAATGGATCCACGAGAGCCTATTTCGACCAAACTCCTCAGGCGAATACCCCTATTCTTCCATCTCAAATGGTCAACGAAGGCGATCGATTTGGCTCCGTGACCGGCCCGACAACCTTTGATCACCCCGATTCCCCAAATGGAACGCCACAATGATTTGCTTGACGTCCTCGATGTTCTGGCTTTTATCTTTTCTTTTTCTTCTGTCTCGATAGACTGGGAGGAGTGTTTCACTATTCTTTTTTTTTATGCTTGATGCTTTAACTGGGTGGCTAAAGGGTTTCATTTTTTTTATAGGCGCTGGCGGATATAAAAGGGGGAGGTCTTTCTTTCATGGGATTGGGAGAAAAGTGAGATTATTCTTAAGTCCTTCTTGTATATACAGGCCCTTTTTTTGAAAGCAGTATCACTGGCTAATTGCAAGTGCTGCTTTTCTTCTCTTTTTCTTTTTTAATTGACGATGTATGAGGTGGAAATTCAATGGCTTAATATCTTCACGTACCTTCCTAATGTTTGCTACCTTGATTTCCCTTTCTCCAACTTCTCTTCTCTTCTCTTCTACTCTCTACTCTCTTTTTTTTTGTTTTCCATCTTCTTTCCTCTCTATCAGTTTCCCTTCTCCATTTCCTCGTTCATCTCCATTCATCTCATGGAGCCCACCATGGAACCCACCATGGAACCCACCATGAACCCTAACGACAGCCCTCTCAGCAACCTCGATTTGTGGTGCGACTGGAGCGGCATTCCAGAGGAACCGGTGTCTATCACCATTGCCATGGAGGTAACACTGAAAATCAGGCAATCCTCGAGTCTTTGCTTTATGTCTCGGTACTGACTGTCGTCTGAATTAAGCTACAAACCTGCGGTCATCCCAACCTCAATTTACCAATCCTCAATGTCCAGTCGCCGAACATCGTCAAGTGCCCGTCTTGGGTTATCCAGTTGAAGCCTGACTTTCACTATGATACCGACTCCCCACCCGAGAAAGAAGCTTGGCGACCTGGCCAAGAATATAGTGACGAGACCGAGAGATACCCTGCCAATAATGACACTGTTGCGGAGTCTGCGAGTGTTGTTGTTCACGATGGTTCGCGGGATGAAGATCCCCAGGATATCATTCCTCGTACTGTGGATATCTCGGGGATGTACACCCAGGTTGATAGCTCCCATAGCTCAACCTCTTCTGACCCTCGCAAGAGCCAGGTCGCCAGCTTGGGCAGCCCACACTCTCCAAACCCTCGTAAGAGATCTGCCAAGGCTGCTTCTCTTCCAGACTCAATCCCTCCTGACGATGAGTACCAAGGCACCCGACACAAACTTACGATGACCAAGATCGATCCGTCGGAGCCTGTGTCTCAGGACAGCACCACCACCGAGGAGATCGTCACACCCATTCACAGTCCTTCCGCCAGCCTTGATGGAACCAGCGTGATGCCTGAGAACATTCCGTTGCCTCAAGACTCGACTCCGGGTACTGTGTCAGTTTCCCCGAGCGTTACATCTACATCTGAGCACCCCGCACTCAACGGCAAGGCAGTGGCGGTTGACAATGTACCTGAACTCGACGAAACACCCCCTTTGCACATTGCAGAAACTCCTAGCAAGATTGACTTGAGCGGTACTGAACCGCTCACCGAAGCGAACTTGCTCCAGCGGAATTATGATACACTCTCGACTCGTGGGTGCAACGGAAGCTTTTCTGACACTGGAGACAGTGACAAAGAAAAGGAGGACCTGCTTCTTTCACTTGAATTCATCGGATCGCCATCATTTTCCTCGTGTCCTGGGTTTACCCCTCCGCCCCGGACGTCCGCAGAAATTGCCGAAGAGTACAAGCCCCAGCTCATCTTGCACAATGATATTCTTTACGTGCAGACCCCTCCCATTGTCTACTCCGCGACATACCAAATCGCAATTTCCCTCAAGGTCAGGTTGCAGAAAGGAAAATCGAAGGATTGGTGGGAGTTGGCTGTGAGTGGACTGCCTCGACTCGCCCAATTCGAGTCTGGTTATATCTACTTCCGAACACCCCCGGGTCAGGGTATGGAATTTGTGACTTCATCTTTCAAACGGCATACCCTTGTGGAAAGCTGCTTGATGGCCCAGTTTGGCAGTGGAAAAAACCTCGTGATTGCGTTCCGTAAGTGCAATGCAGAATACTACGGACAACTCAAGGACTACAAAGTCAACACAGTCATACGGATGGAGGTGGCTGACGATCCATCGTCCTATCTGATCAAATACAATGCTGTTTGCTCCATTGATCTCATCAACCACAACTTCTGGGCCGAGACGTGCAAATTCCGCCTTTTCGTGCATGGCGGCCCAGAGGGCGAGTTTGACGCCGTTTTCACTGCTAAAAAACCTCTGGTCAACTCTATTCGGCTGCAGTCAGATGGCATTGGAATTTCACGCATCAATATCGTCAGCATTCCGCAAGCTCTGGACATGTTCATGGTGTCGTGGGAGGTCAATCTGCCACGAAGCAAGGCTGTCACCTGGCAGCCATGGATCAAAACCACGTTGTACAGTGAGGCTGAAATTATCCTCCAAGAAGATTACGCCATTTATGGTTCCAATCATGAAATTGTACCTCCGAAGTATCTGAATGCTGATACTAGGTGCCAGTTTTCATGTGGTCAACCAGGAGGTATCTGTGTTCCGGAGCTTAATCATTTTAAACCCCAAGTCACTCGGCCTCCATATGTCCACGATGGCTTCGCCATTCACAGGCCTAATCTGACAGGGCCTTTATCAGGCAGAAGTCGAGCTTCTAAGTCTACGAGTACACAGACCCTAGTTGCCGAGACTCCAGCTCCGGTCGCTAGGCCAAAGAAGCCACGCCATGTACGCGGACTATCCGTCCTGTGGTCCCTGGCCAAGTTATTTTTCTTCCTTCTCCATGTGCTTGGTTTTGTAGTCTCTGTGCACTTGATCTACTGGTCGTACTTGCTGCACAACAGTGTGTTCTACGAAGTCCACGTCTATGGCCCAGTGGACCTCGCAGAGAATTCCACTACCAATGCTCAAGAGGCCAAGAGTGTCCTGGCGGAGTTTAGTCTTCATCCTGAGCTGATTCAACCTGAATCTCAGCAGTATGTCAACACCACACCTGCTGATATCACCCCAATGCCCCTGAGAGACCGCATCGATTACCTTCTCGGATGGCGAGGACCAATTGCGCAGGAGTAAATTCCTTGGCGATGGGCATGGACATATGATCGTTTCAAAGGTTACGGTTGTCCGCACCCGTGGTGCTATCCAGAAGCTACGGATACGACTTCATCCAGAAGCTACGGATACGGCTTCGTCCGCACCCGTGGCGGAGGATAATACCGGGATATGAATAGGAAATCGCAGGATCAAGTGCCGCCATCGCTAGACTTAGCAGATAGCAAACATGAATACAAAAAGAAAATCTATTGATCAAGCCAATGTATACGTATTATACTACCTTGTATCCCCGATTCACATACAAAATTGGTCGTACTGGTTTGCACTTTTGACCTCTTTTCTGCCCTCTGGGACCAGACTGAAAAGGGGATATCTCCGTTGACCTCTCTCTCGATATGTAGGTTAACCTGCTCTATTCTTTGAATCCTTAGTAGGTCTATTAGAGAACATCAATACCTACAGACGGATGGGTCAAAGCAGAGGTTCCCTGATCAGGTACCTAGGTAGACCTCCATTGTCCATGAGTACATATGTAGCTTAGAACCTTCCGTTAAATACATGACTTGCATCAGACCGCATCGACTGCCTTGCAGGATGTCGAGGACCAATTTTGTAGGAGTAAGTGTTTGAGGACGGAGCTGACTTAGTATCGTTACGAAGAAGACCGGGGCTTGATGAGAAATTGCAGAAGGCATAGGTCTCTCTACAGTTACTAGACAAAGTAAGAGGCAAAAACCATTAAGCCACTGGATACGCACTTGTACAATGTCATTTAGTGTACACAACTATACATACCTACGTCCGATTCAAATAATATCCCAAAATCAACTCAACAGCCCACCTCAAAACAACATCCATCCCTGCACTCCCACAGCCCGGAGCAACCTCAACCCCAACATCCCTCCTAACCCTAGTCCCATCCCCAACCCTCCGAACAAGATCCTCCTCCGCCAGAGCACCGTCCCCACCCTTCCTATCCCCATCCCCATCCTCAGCAACCAACAACCAAGCATGATCCGTCACATACCGCGGCCAAACAACATCATCCACATACCCAGGCGGATCGACCCAGAAATTCTGCGGTGGCCGATCATCCTCAGCATCAAGATCAACCTCCGTGCTTGCCTTTCCATCCCCACCATCTCCCCCATTCGCAGAGCTCTGCACTGGCGGTTCCGGCGCCGGCCCAATAGTCACATATCCACTCCTCCCCTCCCGTCTAGCCTTAACAATCTCATACGCCGCAGGCAGGAAGAGATGAAGATGTATAGCGTCGTGCACGGAACGGAGGACGTGTTCTTCTCCCCCGGATTCGGACGGAGGCGCAAATAGCAGAAATCCCTCTAGGAATGCAATAGTCGGGTTCTCGGTGCTTTTCCTTGCTCCGTTTTGCAACCGAGAACTAACAATACCCCGCAGCTCCTGCACGATCTCGTCTGACACGCCGGAATCGGCTGCGTCGTTTTGGTCTTCCTTGCTCTGTAGTCGTGGTGGGAGGGTGCCGTTTTCGCGGACGTAGTTCAGTGCTTGGGAGAGGAAGGGGATGTCGATTGCGGAGGCTGTGTCCCAGTCTTGGATTCTTTTGCCGGAGCGGGTTGTTGTGTAGGGGATTCTGGGGTTTGTTAGTGTGGGGTTTGTTTGGGGTTGGAGTTGTGGTTGTGGTTAACGTGGGATGGTTTCGCTGAGACAAGGTGGGTATATGTATGGAGCTGAAGTAGATGTATACGTACTTATCGTCTGGGAAATAGAAGTCATCTTCGTGGATTATGAACGTGTTTAGACGGGAGTCCTTGGACTTAAGATCCACCCCGTAGAATACACGCTGCAGTAACCGCGCGAGGGTCGTCTTGCCGCTGCTCGAGGGCCCGGATATCCCTATTACCACGGCTTTCTCGTGAACTGGCTTCATTGTTTTTCTGGGGTGGAGGAATTGGAGGATTGAAGCCAAGTGAGGGGTGAGATATCGTCAAAAAGGCTTATCTTCTTATCGGGGTTGACCCCGCAGATTGCTACATGTATGTATGTATGCATGCGGACATAAAAGTGGTATTTACCTTTTACACCTAAAAAGACCTCGAAAAGACATCTGGAAATGACATTCAAAGATGTAACTGCTTTATATGACCTATTATTATGACAAAAACCAGATTATCAGTCTTATACCAAGGCCGTATGAGATTATTCTTGTCTCCCTACTCCAGATCACAGGTCTAACCTAGATCGGAAAGGTTACATACGTATGTACGTAGGGCTGATACATACGCAGTTTAACAGCTGGGCAGCTAGCTAGCCCAATTTTGAGGAATCACGCGCGCCTTAACCGCTAGTCTGCTTTATCTTATGTTACCACATGTATCGTTGGTGTATGAACTAATCCTTTTTTCTCTCAACTTGAATAAGCTAGGTTTCTATATGGGTATGGTGTACGACGCAGAAAATCCGACATGTCGCTAGAACGTAAAAAAGTGTGAATATGTATCATGACCCGAACGGCCCGAACAACGAGACCCGCCTCTCAACGCCGTCCCGGGGTAAATCTGGCCCAGAGCGCATCGGCACGTATTGCGCTGGACCAACGCTATCCCCAATAACCGCCGCACGCTCCCCAAAGCCAGCCCGCGGGGGCCCAGACACAGGAGCCCCAGCACCAAAAGCCGAATTCAGCATGGGAACCGGCTGCAGCGGCACAGGAACCGCACCCACACCCATGACCTGGTCATGCTCCGCAAAGCCAATCCGAGGCCTCTTGGCCGGTGACCCCTGAACACCAGTCGAATCGGAATCGGCATCTGACTCCAAGGTCCGCGGTATGCGCGCCGGTCTGGGCCGCGATGGCCCGCGCGCAGGGACCACCTCGTTATCAGGAATCGGCAATTTATGCCGATCGAATAGACCGAGCGGATGTGTCAGCGGAGCCATTCCGGCCGAAGCCTCGTCGGGCATGGGTAGGAATGGCTCGTTCTGAATGATCTCGCTCATAGTCTTATCGTCCACCGGGTTCTTTCCTGCGTGTTTCGTTTCCTCGGCGGTCATGTTTTTACTGCGGTTGAGCATTCGATGTTCGAGGGTATCGCCTAAGACGAGGGTTTCGACGTAGACTGGTCTTTTCTGCCCGATTCTGTGGGCTCGTTTGATGGCTTGGCTTTCCACGTTACGTTCCCAGATTGGGTTGACGATGTACATCCGCGAGGCTTCGGGGATGTGGAGACCATGCGAGGCTTCTTTGACGCTCATTAGTAGAACGCGGACTTCGTTGGTTTGGCGGAAGTCGCTCAAGTTCTCGCTTTTGAGATTGGATCCCATGCTTGCGGTACTGGCGTATGTGCGGAATTTGACTGCTATTAAGTCCAGGCCTTGCTCGACCCAGGCAGCGACGTTGTCGTGTTCGTAGAAGATGATGATTTTGTCGGTTTTCTCGAACTTCAGGACTTGCTCTAACAAGTACCGAAGCTTGGCTGATGCTACTCCTTCCAGCTTCGTTTGTGTCAAGGGCGAAGTCTCCGGGAGAGAGCGGAAGATCTTCTTCTCGAAGGTTTGATTTTTCTTCTTCTTTTTCGGGGTCGATCTGTTTACTGGAAGATTCGTCGACTCGGTGGAACCGCTGTGAGCAGAAGTAGCTGTCTGGCTGTGTTTAGTTAGCTCCCGACGAACTTTGATACCCTCTCCTGCGAGACCTTCAGCGGGATCCGGCGTGCGGAGATGGTGCATCACAAATTCTTGCGCGCGACGGGCCTGGGTCATACCCATGAGCAGAGGCTCGTGATCAGCGTCTGTGGCATCAAGGGCCCACATGTTGCGAGCATGCTCTGGGAAATGCCGAACAAAGACTCCAAGCTCGTGCATCTTTTTGAATCCATTCCAGCCAGAGGAACTCATCGCCTTTCGTGCGATCTGGATTCCTTGTTTTAATTGGTTGAAATCCGCCACTGTCATCTTCTCCTGGTTTTGCTCCAGATATTCCAGGGCAATGTCCACGGTACTTTGGACATCGTCATCGCCAGCCCACCAGAATCCAGCCAGACGTAAGTTTTGTATCAACTCAGTAAGCTTCTTCTTGTTCTTCTTGTTTGTCTCATCAAACATATAGTCAGGACCTTCACGTTCAGATGTAATGGCGTTGACTGCGAGAGTGAAGAGGAATATGTTGATGTACAGCCGGTCGTAGAAGGTCGGCTCAAGGTAGACCACCTTGTTATACAGTGGTGGAAGAGTAATCTCCTTTTTGACCGTTTCGTACCGGTGTCGCACAACAAGACTCTGGAGAGTGGCACGTAGTGATGGGGATTTTCGAGGCATTCCATCTTCGCCCACCGTTCTTGTATGAGTTTTCCAACAATCGTAGGAATTATTAGACCAAGGCTTGAGATCCAAGAAATTACGGACCATGAAGCCCAATTTATCCAGGTTTCTGATTTCATGTTCGACGGCATTTCCCGCATTTTTGCGGGGTTGCAAGAAGGTATGCTCGTCCGGTGACGATTCAGTATTGTCTGTGTCCATTTCCAGTGAAGCAATGCTAAGTTCCACGCCATATAATTCTGAGAGAGGGGTTCCTGAAATCATCCAGCGACGCTCAAATTTCAGCTTTTTGAGCAAGTCGACCATTTCTGTTGTTGTGCTGGCAAGGTCGTGCCCTTCATCGACAATAACTCGCAACCAATGAAGATTGAGAATAGGAGATTCCGGCTTCTGTCCATGTTTGTCCGGTTTTGGATTCTCTCTATTGCATCGGCCTTTGGAGAAAAGCACAATATCGAAGTTCAGGAGTTCGCCCGTTGATGGTGTCTTGTCCTTATTTCGTAGTACTAGGACATTCAGATCGGTGGTGTGTATAGCGATCTCACGTTCCCAATGGTCCAGCAAGTTATCCGGCACAATAACGAGAGTACCGGAGCAGAGAAGAATTTGGTTGGCCGAGCGCGTGTACGCTGAGGCTTCTCTTTGGCGTTTGCTTTTCGCCGGTTCGATGTAGGAACCACTGTTGGCCACACAGGCCTTCCTACAATTACTATAATCTTTCCCGTCTGCCAGCATCCGGTCAAAGTGATCCTTCCAGGGCAGGGAAAAGCGACCAGCAGTAGCAGCAGCCATTTGCATTAGTGATCCAGTCTTGAACCTGACGGGGTTATTGAGTGTCTGGTACTCCACCGGGATTTTGGGGAAGTGTCCCCGTGTAGCCAATATCACAGCAAGACTGATGAGAGTTTTTCCGCATCCCATAGACTCTGCCAGAATCCCTAGTAACAATCAGTATAGTTCACCAAGATATTCATAACCCGCCCGACAATCATTGAGAAGTCAGCGCCGAATATATAGGTACCCACCTCCACAGGCCTCGGGATACAAGATCTTGTAACTCAAAATGCTCCCAGACTCCTTATCATAATAGAACTCCGACCCAGTCGGACCCCGCCAAGGCTGGAATCTCGGATCAAGCGTCAGCGCCGGCGCTGCCTCCCGCTGAACCATCACAGCAGCGGATTCGCGCTGAAACTCATAAAGTGTTGTTTTAAGACCTCGAACCGAATTGCCAAGCAGTTCCTCCATGGCGTTCCGGGAGTGCAAATCTGTTACGTGGTTCAACTTCAGAGCGGGTTCTTGCAGCGTATTGAATATGTAATAGAGGGATTCTTCTTCGCTATCGGCTTGAGTGTTTGAATGTAAACCAGCACGAGCACTAGCCAAGCCGTTCCACGCTTCAGAGGATCTGTCAATCATGGACATGACGAGTTTGAGAGCGGACCTGACAGTCTTCTCGGAATCGCCACGTTTTCTTAGAATGGGCTTCTTTTGCTGTGCCTCTGGAAGCACGAAGACCTGTACATTGTTGCCGTCGCTAAGGGAGCGTGTTCGGATCCACTCGTGCTTTTCCAGCAACGCTATCTCGGAGTTCGGGTAGAGGTGCGTGCATGAGTATTTGCGCAAAATGCCGGCTGGGACATAGTGATCAATATGGGCATCCGTTGCCTCTCGGTTATGGGTTTCAAGAGGCCTGTCTGTCACATCTGGGTTGAGAGGCTCATCCATCGCCTCTGGGGCTTCAAATTTCACATCGGGCTGAGGACTACTGGACGGCGGCACGTAAGGAAGCCCGGGAGGTAAATCATTGACCTCAACAGGTGGTCTGCTCCAGCTGCCCAGGGTCCACTGGGTTAGCTCCGACATGGTAGATAGTTGCAAGAGAGAACAAGATGCGTGGATGAAACGATATTTGGAGATATTGGCAGAATAGTGACCGCCTCTGATAAGCGGCTCCGCCCTACTCCAGACCTGCCGGGTTGGCGTGTGGATCAAGAGGGTCCGAGCCCCCACGGGTTGGTTAGGACGTCCCGGGCTTTCTTTCTTGATTACATTTTACATCGCTCAATTGGCATATTAACCTCATTACAAAGTTTCCACTATTAATATTATTATTAGAAGCACGATGAGCCATCATCAAATTACCATCTAATCTATCGCAAGCCCAACCAATGAATCCAAGAATCCTTGAACAATGCACCTAATTCCATTCTCTGTCCAGCCCCCAAAGCAGGCTTCAGCCTGAGCCTGAGCTTACTGAGTCAAAAAGTCCTCAATCTCAAAACCCATCCGCTTAAGCGCCTTCTCCTCCAAATCCCGCCCAACAACCTTCCTCAGCACAACCGTGCGCGCATCCTGCAGCCGCACCTCAACCGGATTCCCACCCATGCGATCCAGCTCCTCCTTACTGCACTCACGAATGTAAACCGTGATATCAGGACCCACGCACGCGCGCCACAGCGACGCCATCCACTGCCAGTGATCAAGCGGCGCGTAGGAGTCGCCGATGGGCGTGGAGCAGGCGAATGCGTCTGCCGTGGTGAGCTGGTAGCGTGGGACGAGCGCGATCGGCACGCCGTAGTGGCTGCCAGTTGTGATGGCGCTGGCCTCGGAGCCGTTCTCGCTCGACTGGGCCGGGGAGTGGATGCGCAGGTTTGCGGTCTTGGGGATGAGGGTGCGGGGGGAGACGTTGGGGGCTGGGGTTTCCTCGTCTGTTATGGAGCGGGCGTCGACGGAGCCGGCTCTTGAGGTGGATTTCACGAAGCTGATGACTTCGTCGGAGATCCGGTGCCAGGCGGAGATGGTGTTGAGGTAGTCGACTGTGGCGTCGCCCATCTGGCCTTCTGCGGAGGTCGGGCGGGGTGCTTTGATTTCTGGACCGTCGAAGACCCGGACGTGGTACTTTGTTTCCTTTTTTAGGAGGTTGTTGAGGTATTCGACGGCTGTTTGGACGAGGTCTGGGTCTTGGCCGTCGATGGCGATTACGGGCCCCCGGGCTGGTGGGGTGCCGTCCCGGAATGAGGGGAGGAGTGGTGGGGAGATCTTGGCGAGGACTTTGATCTTGTTGAGGAAGGGGATTGTCATGACTGTTGCTTCGACACTGGATCCTTCTTGTGGGTAGGGTGTCATGGGTGTCATCACCGGCGTTGTGGTCTGGAGTGGCGGTAGCTTCAGACTCGGGTCCGGGTGTGGCTGTCCGGGAACACTTTGATATGGCCGTTGCGGTTGAAGCATGGGGAGATGGCGTGGCGGCATATCAGGGCGAGCACTCCAAGGGGTCATCGGGTGCGGTGACTCGGGGACGCCACTGCCAGGACTGCGGTCCCGGTAGGAGGGATGTAAAGTTGGCTTGAATGAGCCATGAGATACTCGGCGGCGTTTGTTATCAGGAGACCGACCACCGGGTTCCTCCCAGTGTCTTTGGCGAGAACGGGGATCGTGATCCATCTTTGCCGACTTTGGTACTGGATTGGGGTCCTTCTCGCGACCTTGTTGGTTTCTTGGGAAGCCATTTGGGTGTGCATTTGGGTGTGGTGACGGCGCTGAGAAGTTCGATGGTGGTCGATACCCAGGCCCACTGCTGGGTGTGAACGGAGTCATGGGGGAAGCGGGTGCATTCATCAGTCGACCACCACATCTGTTACAGTGTGATGAACCAGACGGGTTGTGCCCAATACCTGAGGCTGAACTCCGGGCACTTCCATCCCGACCATACCGCCGAGGCTGGTAGCGGTAGTCAGGGTATTGTTGCTGATGCCGAGCTTTTTCCTCCTGTGATTGTTAGCGGTTGATATCACATTCCTGGAGATAGTTGTCTTACCTCTGCAAGTGCCTTCCATTTACTCTTGTCATCCTCCGAAAGAGACCGCCACTGTTCCCCGATAATCTTGGAGATCTCGGGATTGGCCAAGCCAGGGTTATGAGCGACCACCATGGCCTGATAATGCTGACGATACAGGATAAAAGCTAGATTTTGCAGAGTATTAGCCATGTCCATGTTCGAAAGATCCGATCTGGCTAATGAAGACCAAAAAAGAAACAATCGAAAAGCACTTGCCAATCTCTAACGATGCGGACAATATCGACTCACCATTACGAGGCCGGGGAATTTTCGGATCCGGTTGACAGAGGCAAAACTGCGTAGCACTCTCTTTGTGTGATTTGGTGGGACTGGTACTGCTGGCTGAAGAGGAGGATGATCGGTCTGATCTGTCTCGCAAGGGCAGTTCCTTGGTGGAGATCATGGGGCCGACAGGCTTGATAGAGCCATTGGAGGACATCTTGTGTGTCTCTTTGGGTCCGTTTAGGGAGATACGGGGATCAGAGTATCTGACTGAAGCCCCAACTGGACCGTCGACAGGGTGTCTCATGGCCATGGCAGACTTGGGCAATTCGTCGTTCATGATTTTGTGATCGAGTAAATTGCTCGGTCTAGGCAGATTGACTTGAGCAGACTCATAGTGTAGAGCAACAGGGTTGGGGAGAACTCGATCGTAAGACATTTATCTAATACTTTTTTTTCTCAATGAAAGGGCTCGAAGGCGAAGTTTGAATGAAAGAAATAGGGTCACAAGAGAAAGGTAAAAAACATTAAAAAATAAAAATAAAAATAAAAAAACACAAGTATAACCTTGTGAAAGAGAAGAAGTGAATTTTGGGGGCGACCCCAAGAAATAACAAGAAAGAAAGAGGGGCTAGAGGCGAGCAACAAAGAAAGAGAATCACCACTGGAGGGGGAAAGGGAAATAATCCCAATTATCCCAATAAGAAATTGAAAGACCGGGGAAGTCCTAGATAGGACAAAGCGAAGTCTATGGGCGTTTGGACAGAAAAATAGTTCTTTGTCTTGGTGTTCGCCCCCAGAATCCCTGTCTAGCTTTCTTTGATAGCTCAGGATAGCTCTAGATTGCCCTTGATATTCTTAAGAGAATTAAAAAAAAGAAAAAGAAAAAGAAATATAAAAAGTACGAACAGAAAAAGAAAAGAAAAGAAAAGTTAACCAGTGGCTTTTCTTTGTTATAATTCTCCTATTCCTATAGGAACCTACTACCTAGGTACATGTATGGAGACTAGACTTGAAACCCTCACTTTCCCTTATACTTCCGACGACACGGTACCGTCCAGATTGTCCCAACCTTGGAAAGGAAAAGAAAAAAAAAAGTGAAAAATGAAAAATGAGGTGTCAACTAGAGAATCAAACTAAATCCCCTAATTTCCCTAATTTCGTTTCCCTAATCTCCCTAGTTATTTTAGCCAAGGCACTAGAGTCATTGTTTTCTTTGTCTCCCGGATGCGGCGACCCGTGATCTCAGGGTCCACCTGTCACGTTGACGTTGATTGGTTTTCTCGTAAAGAACAAAGAAAGTCCATCTTGGTGTATACGGGTATACATATGTATAAGCTACATATGTAACTAAACAATTATTTTCTGTGTTTAGACTTGATTAGTTTGATTGTCTGGCATTGTCTGGACTTTTCCCTCTAGTATTATCTACCTACATAGAATATATTCACATATTAAAAAAATGTAAAGGATCTCCGCCGATCCCTCGATCCACCCCCCCCCGTTACTTCGTATAGTCACTTGCTTTGACTTCGAACAATACCACCCCCCCTTATTTTCTCTTGTCTCGGGTAATCTGGATCTTCCCGTTTTCCACTGCAAGTTCCAGTCTACTGGTTTGACATCGGTACTACCGTGTTAATTCAGTGAGATCCACTTTTGTCCTGGAACCCGCATCAAGTATAGTGCGTTTGATCGGGTACCGACATTGCTTTACATAGACACTTTGCGAGACGTCATATTTGTCACTTTTCTTTTCTTTTTCTTTTCTTTTTCTTTTGGGTTGTTTGTCTGAATAATTAGAATTCTCATTGATCTGGACAATGTCTAAGCTGCAAACCCCCGTCGGGTGTGGCGCCGAAAACTTCCCACTTCATTCGGATTCAACAGAATATCAATCCCATGGTAGATCTCCGTAGCCATGAGCCGGTGAGCTAAAGGACCCAAATGCATTTCGTCCCTGAAGATCAACAGTGTCAGTGTCAGTGTCAGTGTCACCGTGGAAAATAGCATTTTGACATGTCGATCCCTTCCCCTCACGTTTCTTATAGAAAATGGTAATGACGAACGTTGAGGGAGAAAAAAAAAAAAAAAAAAAAGGAACCCCTTACCAGAACAGATACTTATCTGGATGCTCACACTGTTCCTTCTTTGACATCATGACCCGGAACCCACTCTCAACACAAGGCTCCACGACATTCTCCCATCCATCCAAGTTCCTGCCTAAACCATTCTCCTCCTCAATACCCGCCGCATAGAGCTGCCAGTCACGGATGCGGTCCATCATAAAAGCATTACTATCAAAAAGATACACAGTACCACTCCACTCCCTAGCCACCTCACCGAGTTTCCCATTCCACTCTTCCAAGATCCGCACCGTATCCTTATCCAGACCACCGGCCTTGAACCCAGGCAGGAAAGTCACGTCGACCGTCTGCATCAGGATGACCCTCAGCCCCGTTGTACCCAATCGCTCGGACAGCGTATCAAGCTGACCCATAAGCGTTGCAATGCGTCGCTCAACCGATTTGCTCGCTGCGTCGTAGTCCTTGCCAACCAAGCTCCAGAGGTCCCAGACGCCGAACGAAACGACGAAGATCGTGCGGTCCTGTCGGGACCGGGTCGCTTCGGCGGAAAGGTCCTTCGTCGCGGCTGTCTCGGCGTCTAGCCATTGCTGGAGCTGGGACTTGAAGTCTGCTGGGTGGGTCTGAGATAGTCGGTCTAGTAGATTGAGTTCTTTATTGTCGACCACTGCGCCTATGGTCTTGTCGTTTTGTGGATTTGCTGTCTGTGCTAGGTTCTCTTGGTGGCAGGATAACTAATCGTGTTTCAGTGGATCTGTCAGATACGATGCTTGTTTTCTCTGTGTTCTATACTTTCCCCCGGTGGTTATCTTACCATTGAACAAAGCCAGTCCGTCCATATCTTGTCTTGTGACGAGTTGGATTGGTTGTCGCTCCATGAGTCCCCGAATACGACTAATCTCTGGTCGAATGTGCTGACTACTTGGAATGGGTCTGATGCCAAAGGGACGATATCAGAGAAACTCCTTGACGTCAAAAACCATGCTGTGGCGAGAATCATGCAGACTGAGACAGCAGACAGTGCGTAGAAACAGTTGAAAAGGCGCGTCATGGTGAGTGAGCGGCCAGGTTAGAATAGCCCAGTTGGGCAGTGTCGATCTCAGGTCTTCTGCTTGTTTCGGATAAGACGTAGTCGACACGAACGTATGGTAAGCTCCAAGACAACAATATTAATGCGATACAATGCAATCAGAAACCAATGTCTCTCATATTCTGCGGGGAACCAAAAGATTATCCTCCAGAGAATTAAAGATCACGACGAAATCTCCACTCGGACAAGAAGCACTGACAAGGTCGGGTGTGTGGCGGTTTCTCCAGAAACGCTGCAGGGAAAAAAAAAATAGAAGATAGAAATAGGACACAATTGTCAAAGCCATGATATAGAACTAGAATACACAAGAAGTATCACCGACAAAAATGGAAATCCCATATTAGTCGTGAATTCGTCACAGCTGTAGATTGGCCGCGTGGCTCGGAGAGAACCGAGTAGCCTAACATCCGACTGGGCAAATCAGAGTCGCCGATTTAATTCCTTTCACTTGAAATGGGCCACAATTGCTTGATCTGGTCTGTTCTTCCGTATCCGAGCCTCTTGCTGATATTTGGGTTCTGTTCTTTCATATTCTTCGATCCGAATAGTGGAGATCAGTCTAGACTGACTTGCATCTCATACAAAGCCCAGCACACAAGGCCACGTCCGGTTTCTGTTTCGCTTTGTCTCAAGGGATTTGACGTTCTTTTGGCCTTGTCGTCTGACACGAAATTGTTCTGACACCGAAATTGTTGGTACTATGGATATGCCAAGACATTGTATACTGCAGATCGCTAGAGCGGAGAAGTGTGAGACATGTCTCTATTCGGAAATAGATAAGAGAGAATGAAGTATGGGGAAAAGGTATAAGGTGGATTTGCCCAATTAATCATTTTCATCTTTCTAGCTATAATACCGAAGGGGACAGACATTCAAAACATAAAAAACACACCGTCGTGCTATCATAAATATGACCTTGGAACGTCCCTAATATTGTTTTGAGCTAAATGGATCATATTTCTTGAACCCCCCAGAGCTTATCCATCTATCCTCATAAGATGGTGGTTCTTACAAATCCAGGGTTGTCTGCTCGATAATCCATGCACCGGCGTTTGCAGTGTCTGACATGCGAATGGTCCAGGTCGGGTATAGAGTCAAACATGGTTAGTAGATGCTGTTGATTTTGTAGTTGTACAAGGCTCGTGGTGGCTGTCAATGAGTCGCTTTGTGAGACCGTACTCAGTCTTGATATATAAAAGTTGGAGTTCGGCCGGTCGAGACCACATCATGACCCGAAACATTCATCAATCATTCCGTTTGTGAGTCCCCGTCGGTTGTATTCGAAAGTCGCACTGGGAGGTCTCACGCCTGAGTAAACGAGTACTGCGTTGATTCAAGGCGGAGCAAAAGCTGGAATTGTTGGCGGTCCTGGATATGTGTTGTCTCTTGGATGCATAGTTGACGGGAGTGAGTCGCATATTCATCGTTGGGTAAAGTTGTTTCCAAATTTTCAGCCCCTCTGTAGGCACCCACACCTCAACATTCTATGAACATGACTGAGTTGATGAACGAGGAAAAGAAAATGCCAGGGTGCTGATAGTCAGTCACATGACATGCTAAATTCTCACTAAACCCCATTAGGAAACAAAAGCCCTACTTCCCACACGTGACACGTGACTTGCACCTCGCTAAGCCGGCGAACTAAAAAAATCCACAATACGGACTCCTTCGACGACAATCTCACAAATCGACAACACCCGCGCTACCGTCTTGACCGCGCCGCCTCCGTCAAGATGAAGCTCAACATCTCCTACCCGGCCAATGGGTCCCAGAAAATTATCGAGATCGACGATGAGCGCAAGCTCCGTCCCTTCATGGAGAAGCGCATGGGCTCCGAAGTCAGCACTCCCTTAACCATCATCCTTCCCCGACTGTCCGACAATCCAATCGATGAACAACGTACACACACATACGACTATAGAGAACGACTGGCTAATTGGGATTTTTGATTAGGTTGCCGGCGATGCTCTCGGTGATGAGTTCAGCGGTTACGTGTTCAAGATTACCGGTGGTAACGACAAGCAGGGTACGCATACAATCCCCCATTCCCAGCGTCGACTTGATAATGGAAAATGGAATCCAAAGCACAACGAGGATCAACAATGCTGACGATTTGAATTTACAGGTTTCCCCATGAAGCAGGGTGGTACGTACACAGCCGCACAACAACCTGGGGAATAACGAAAAAAAATTATATCCAACCCCAGGGATACAACCAACAATCGACAGCATACTCATCGAATAATTTCTACAGTTCTCCTCCCCACCCGTACCCGTCTCCTCCTTGCCGACGGCCACAGCTGCTACCGCCCCCGCCGCACCGGTGAGCGCAAGCGCAAGTCCGTCCGTGGTGCCATCACCGGTCTGGACCTTGCCGTCCTTGCTCTGTCCATCGTCAAGCAGGGCGAGGGTGAGCTCCCCGGTCTCACCGACACCGTTGTCCCCAAGCGTCTCGGCCCCAAGCGTGCCACCAAGATCCGTCGCTTCTTCGGTCTCGACAAGAAGGACGACGTCCGCAAGTTCGTCATCCGCCGCACCGTCACCAAGGAGGGCAAGCAGGACTACACCAAGGCCCCCAAGATCCAGCGTCTGGTTACCCCCCAGCGTCTCCAGCGCAAGCGCCAACGCGTTGCTATCAAGCGCCGCCGTGCTGAGACTGCCCGTGATGCTGCGTAAGACTTCTCCCTCTGCTGTTTTTCTGTGCTTGATCAATGATCTACGGGTGTATTGGTTTGATTTTTGGAAAAACATCTTAAACTAACGGGTACATAGTAACGACTACGCCAAGCTCCTTGCCGGCCGTGTCCACGAGGAGAAGGCCAAGCGTGATGAGCTCCGCAAGCGGAGGGCTTCCTCCATGCGGAAGTAAACTTCCAAACCCGCGGTTTTATGATTTCGTTCTGCGGCGATGGGGTTTAATGGAGGAGCTTCACGTCTCTGGGATGATTTGAGGGGAATTCACGAAAAAATGAATCACTCTCAGGGGCGCGGAGGATACATGTGTGATAAAAAGAAAAGGGAACAAGAAAAAGACACGGGAACAGGTTTCAAAACGTACAAAGCAGGCTGAGTGGTTGATACTCCCTTGTGTTTGGCTACGGTGATTTCGGGCCTTGGGAGTCGCAATGCATATCTGTGTTGAACCTACCTTTTTTTTGATGACCCTTTTTTTTTGAATGGAGTGCATGCAAATTTCAATACTCAGTTCTGTCAATTGCTATCTTTCCAAGGAGTAGGCGTAGTTATGGTATATTGTATCGATTTATTTCCTCTTTGTGGGCTCTTAGTGTACTCCACTTGAATGAAGTCACTTACACTAGTCGATAATGCGATTACTTTAATTTCCCCCGCTTCTGCCGATTTCCCCAAGGTATAGACATCGGTCACGTGCTATATAAAGTCTCAAAAGGGGATGGAAAGACGTTCGGAAGTATGTTGTTCAAGGGCTATGACTGCAATTCGTGGTCAACAGTACGTATTTGGAGCAAGGATATTTAGAAGGATGTCCTCTATCAGATGTATTTCCGCTTCCTCTGTTTGGCTAGTAGTGCCAAAGCCGCGTGTGTTCCTGTTATAGTCCTATATATATGTAGGACGACAGCGAAACAGCCGATTTAACAACCGTAGCAGCACTACCTCAATAGAAAAACACCATGTCTAATTGAAACTTGCAGAACAGCCCCAGGCCTTGTAATAAAATATCAAGTACTCTGCATATAAGACCACACACATGCACGATGCAACCAATCCCAGCAGAGGATAACCAACTTCCGCCAGAGAGAACTGCATAAAGCCAACATTTAAACGTCGGTCTCTCTCTCTTAAAAAGAAAAAAACATAGTAAACAATAATAAAACACCCGGGGACTAACATCCTCGTCCGGCTAATAAAAAGGGTCATAAAAATCGTATTTTTTTGTTTCCCGCTCACTCCACGGTTTTGCGCAACCACAGTAGGTAATCACTAGGACAAACCGTAGATTTGATCCTCTGTCCTCATGCAATAATTCATTCCTGCCTCAGATTTACCCCACGGTGTGCGAGAACAAGAAGCTAACTGACTCGCCGTTGTGTGTACGACGACATGCCTCGGCCAATGTAGGGCTGATATCGATCGTATGGATCTTGTCGCACCGTTCTTGCTTGTCTCCCAGTGGCACAGTGTTGCTGACGATAATGCTGCAAGAGAGTTAGTCAAAATGAAATGACACCAAAAACCAAAATCATCCAAGAGTGCAATGACTCGTTGCTGGTATTCGGTCGTGTACATACCGCTTGAGGCAGCTACCGTTGAGGTTCTCAATCGCCTTTCCGGACAGAATACCGTGCACGACGATGGCGTTGACCTCGGTGGCACCGTGCTGCATGACGGTTTCGGCAGCCTTGGCGAGCGTGCCGCATGTGTCGGCCATATCGTCGACGATGATAGCGACCTTGTCCTTGACATTACCGACAAGGACCATGCGCGAGACCTCGTTGGGGCGGGCACGTTCCTTGTGAATGAGCGCGAATTGCAAGTCCAGGCGATCGGCAATGGCAGTAGCACTAACAGCGATCTAAATTAGCCCTTGAACTACCCCAGTATACAGATACACGTGTGGTATCGAGAGAGGGCAAAACTTACCGCTTGGCGCCGCCAGCATCCGGACTGACGATGACACAGTTGGCGACATCGAGGTTCTCACGAATATACTTGAGCATGCTGGGCTCGGCGTACAGGTTGTCGACGGGGACGTTGAAGAAGCCCTGGATCTGGCTGGCGTGCAGGTCCATGGTGATGACGTGGTTGCAGCCGGCGGTCTGGAGCATGTTCGCCATCAGCTTGGCGGTGATCGGAGCACGACTCTTGTCCTTCTTATCTTGGCGGGCATAGGGGAAGTTGGGGATGACGGCGGTGATGCGGCGGGCCGAGGCGGTCTTGCAAGCGTTGATCATGATCAGGAGCTCCATGAGTCCGTCGTTGATATCGTTGGGTTTCGTCGATTGGAGAATGAAGACTGCAACAAGTCATAGATATGAGTGGGGGGTTTCTAGTATCACGATTAAGGTGGGATGCCCGTACCATCTTCGTCCCGGACGCTCTCTCCGATTGTGACACTGGTTTCTTGGTTGGAGTATTGCAGGACCATAATCTTGGTCAACTCGATGCCGAGACTGATTCACAGCTCTATAATTAGCCGGTGGCCCAGTCTTGACCTCTCGGTAGCACATACCGGTCTGCAACTAGGTTGGCGAGCTCGGGATGACTGTTGCCAGTCAAGAGCTTAATGGAGTTGGTCGACATGATGCAAGGCCTTGTGAAATAGTAAGAAGAGAGAGATTCAATTCAAAGGAGCTCAAAACACACTCTTCTCTAAGATGACCGTGTTCGGCTCAAAAAATCGATTTTCCTCCGCGGCCCCGCATGTCCTTTTTTTCGATGTAGTCCCGTGACGGGCTCACCGCCCAATGACATAAGCACATCGCCAATCCATGGATGGATCCACCATCGCCCTGGAGGATCTATAAGTCGGACCTGCATATGAAATTCTACTCATAATGACTAGTAAAGAAGTACGCAGCGGATTTGAAGAAAAAAAGGAATAAATGCAGCAATCTAAGTACATAAATAGGGCTCTGGAAAGAACACGGTTGACCTGCACTTCAACCGCATCCCTTACCAGGCGCCTCAGTTTTCATCTTCTCATAAAGAAACTTCTCCTCGCTGGCTCATGCCAGCCTTCCATACTTTTCTCATTCGTCCCCGATAAATAGAAAAATCCCGTAACGAATCGAGAGAAACGCCAGACAATGCTTTGGCTTGATAGAACCATTCCCATGCCGTAGAGTAGGACAACAGTCTAGGCAAACCCGAAGTACTCACTGCCAGTTGTCACGGCCGTGTAAAGACGTTGACGGAGATCTTCGTAACTTTCGTACTCAGGAAGATCAAGCTCTGTTAAGAATAGTTAGTAAATTGCGCTAATGCAGCCAAGAAATGCGGAGAAAACTTACGGTTGAAACAGGTATGCGAGCTAGGAAGGCGATCCTTATGGCCATAGTCGCGATGGATGTTGAACTTGCTCACACCGTTCATACCCTCAAGTTCTTTGAAACCATTGAGAGGTACTTTACTGGTTCCAGTGACGAACTGCAAAAGCTTGGCACGTTCCTCCTTGTCGAATGAGCGGACGGCACGCCAGAACCACTGGATCTGCGAGGAGGACGCGGAGTAGTTGTGATACTCGGTGTTGTTCTTCCACTCGTCCACATCGATCTCAGGAAGACCAGAAATCAAAAGTTCCAGCTCTTGCTCGTTGAAAATGGAGATCAACTCGGGAGGAATGATTTCGTGGAAACCCTTGAGGAAGTTGTCTAGTTGCTCGCGAACCGATTCGACGAGGCGATATTCGACCACGCGCTGAACATACTCCTCCTTGTTCTCCTGTGTAACGGGAATGTCGCGACCACCGGGCTTCAGGTCGATGACCTGCTTCTCGCCAAAGTCATCCGTTTCAATGGCAAATGTCTCAGTAATGATATCGGTAATGTCGTTCTCCAGCATCCACAGAAGGGATTTGTAGTAGTCCAGGTCGAGCGTTTCCATGTCCTTGATAGACACGGATCGTCCGAGGATATTCTTGTAGACTGCGCGGCTGAAGTGACAGTCAAGAACACGGCCTTCGTACAAGGCCTTGCCAATGATCCGCCCGATGAATTTGAAGAACATGAGATGCTCCGAGTTGACGCCACTAAGACGATTGGGGTGGAAGGTAGTCCGGTCTGCGGCGACAGGGATGAACAAAGCATAGTTGGGGTTGAACATTCCGCGGGCAAGAACCTGGAACCATTCTCTGGTGACACCACCAGCATCGACACCCTCCTCGCCATGGAATCGTACATTCAATTTGCCATACTTCAACTCATCTGCGCTCTTGAAGTACAAGGACTTGAAAGAGTCAAGGAAAACCTCAGATCTGCGCACAGAGAGCTGAAGAGGAGGATGAGGGTGGCGAGGCTCGGCGCCACGGGAGTGCACACGCCGAGTAAAGTAGTTGCGCTTGTTGTCGAATTCCAGGACCTTGGGGTTCTTGACCAATAGGGAGAATGTGCCGCTCATCAGGCGAGGGTTCTGGCGGACGAGCTCATTGAGAATCTTGCGATGTTCTTCGGTGAACCTGAAGAAGATGTTTTCCATGCTGAGACCAGCATCAGTTGGGGCGCTGCTGTTGACTGACAATTCGCGGCTATTGCGAGACAGCGGCTGGTCCTTTAGCGTGGTGTTCTTGCAGACGACCATCAATGCCTCAATGAGAGGGAGGAGAATAGTTGCCACGTTCAGCATATTTTCCTTCTGCCGAATGACAGTCAAGCAGTCGCTCAGCTTGTTCCAAAGCGGACCGAAAGTAGCGCTTTCATAGAGCTTTTTGAGCACATCCTCCTTGGGAGCGGATGGCTCAATATCCTTGAGCTTGTCGGCTCGTGCCTGGTCAAACAGATAATCAAGCGCGGTCAGGATACGTAGTAATTTCGCCTGGTCTGAGCTAGCTGGGGAGAACTTGGCTAGAGCAAGACCTTGCATGTCGGTACCAGTCCTGGCCTGGTGGATATGAGGGAGAAGATCCTCCAAATCACCCAGGATGGTATCGCTAAGGGCCTGCGCTTGAGCAACCAACTCATTGCCGATCACGTCTCTAGCTCCAGGGATAGCGGAAAGATTGTTGATGGTGGAAAGTGTATCGCGGAATGTCTTGCCATTGCACTCACGAGCCGCGAGGATGTGGACGACCAGTCGGAAGTTGTGATCCGGAACGACAGGAGGCTCGATGGTTCGCTTCTTGCGCTTCTCGTCCACGGCGGGCTCCTTGGAATCTTCAGGTTGCTTGGCTTCAGCTGAAGTAGCCTCTTCAACCTCTGCGGTCTCTTGGCCAGGGGCTCCAGGGGTTTCCACAGTGGGAAGCGGAGCATCGGTCATGGATGTGTCCATACTGGAATCGGCAGCCTCGGCAGCTTGATCGGCAGGCGCTTCGATTTGAGGTCTCTCCGGCTCCTTGCCCTTGCCCTCTTCCTGTCTCTCCTTCTCACGACGGAGGAGAACGGTCAATGGCTGTGTGATGCTGCTAAGGAGGCTGGACAGTTGCTCCATACAATTAGGGCTTTCCATTATCAACTTGCGGTCAAGAAGAGAAAGCAGGGCATTCAGAGCAAACTTGTTAGCTCGGTTTTCTTTGCCTTTGCCCTTGCGCAAGGACTTGAGTTTACCAGCTGAGGCAGAGTCATGCTCTGTCAGGAAGAACCAAGCAATGTGGGGGTTGAACTGCGAAAGGAAAGACAGCGCGGCGATACATTGTTGGATGACCATAATTGGGGTCACTTCGCTGCTGACGCTCGAAGCCGTTTGGAGAGCGAGTGTTCGCTTAGCCTGCGGCGTCTTCTGTATTCCTGGTGCCTTTGCACGCAGAGAAAGATGAGAAAAGCTGCGTTCAATCGCAGTGGAATCGACGCTGCCATCCTGCAAGATCGAAAGAAGAACGCTGATCACTTCACTCCGGTTCTGGCGGTTCTCGCAAACATTGTGAAGAATATCATTCAATTGATGGCGAGCGTTGCCCTGGAGAGGCATAAACATCAGGCGTAGAAGGGTTGCAACGCCAGCCTTGTCGAGCATTTGAACAATTTGGCGTCTCTGTTCTTTCTTTGGCTCTTGACCTGCAGCAGGCTCAATTCTCTGCCGGGGATCAATGGCACTCAGGTCACCGAACTGGGCCATGCGTCGGCCGCTACCGCCCATACCACGGGCCTCGGTCACGTACTCTGGACCCAAGGTTGCGAGAACATCCTCGGGCTGATCTGCCAGAACAGCCTGGCGCAAAGAGGGATCGAGAGTGGCAAGGAAGCTGACAGCATCCATTTCTTCCGCCGGTTGAGTGCTAGCTGTAGCGCCAGCACCACCAGCAGCGGCCGCCTGTCGTCGCGCGGTCTCACGTTCCCGCCGGCGTCGATCGGCAGCTTCTTGTTGCAGCAATTCTTCACGGATCTCAGCAGGCAAGGCCTCAAGGAATTCTTGGTTTATCTCAGTATCCTCCTCACCCGCGGCGGCAGCCTGTGACCGATGTTCAGCAAGCTGTTGCATGATGACTTCCTCCCGAAGTTCCTCAGGCAGAGCCTCCAGATATTCTGAATCAATCTCAAGACCTGTGATATCAACTTGACGGCCCCTGATGTTCGTGTAGACTCGACGAGCAGGTTCAGCGGGCTGCGCTTCGGGTTGAGATGGGCCAGCTGTCTCAACTGCAGTATCGGTTTCTTGGACATCTTCCATGGGCTCATCGACCCCGGCAGCTCGACGCTCGGCTTCCTGTTGTTCTTTCTCTGCCTGTAGTCGGGCATTTTCTTCCTCCTCCTTTTGCTTAAGTTCGCGCTGTTTTTCTTCGGCGGCAATGCGATCCTGGCGTTCTTTTTCAGCCCGTTCGGCTTGAAGACGTTTGCGTTCCTCTTCTGCGAGCTTCAGGCGCTGCTTCTCCTCCTCCTTGGCAGGGGAACCAAGAGCTTCAGAATGGTGTTGATGATGCGCTGAGTGCGATCAGAATACGGGCTGCTGAAACTAATGCGGGCCTCTTCTTGCCAGCGGTTTCTGGTGGTACCAAGACCAAACTTGACGGCAGTGTGAGGGTCGTCGCCGCGAGTGCGAGTTGGAGGGCCTGCTCCTCGGGGGATTCCAAGCATATCTTGGATACGACCAGGCAAGACTGCCCGTCGGTCGACATGGACATGAATACCATCAGGGCGAGTGACAACGCCGAAGCCTGGTGCCGCCTGTCCACCAATGGCTTGCATAATGGCATTCATGAAGCTGATTGGGCTATCCATGGCAACAACCCGGCCACCTGCAGGGTCCATAGTCTGGCCCCAATCGGCGAAAGGATCAGCAGCAGCCCGAGGTGGAACGGCAGGATCTGGGCGGTCAGTCCGGACAAGAAGAGGATTAATGCCATCGTCGTTGGTGCGGGATGGGATCTGGTTTCGGTGGACACGGTGGTAAGGCTGGATAGGAACAAGACCAGATGGGCGACCCGGCATGATTTCAGTGACGGTAGCCCAAGCCGGTGGTGCGCCTCCGCGGAAACGGGATTGGGGATGTCCTCGGGCCATTGGAGGTTCATCGCCTTCCCATCCCCATGGCTCAAGAAGATCATCATCTTCTAAGCGAGTCAGCAATGATGCGAGAAAATCATTGGGAGCGTTGAACTCACCTTCCATATCCCCATAAGATCCTTGTTCCTCATCGAAGTCGTCCATGTCCTCGTCAAGTTCATCCATTTCATCTTCGTCTTCGACTGGACCGGATGTCAGCAACGTTGGCTGTGGCAGCGGGATCTGCGCCAGCAGAGTAAGGAGGAACAAACCGTCTTCATCGAGGTCATCAAGGATTTCTTCGTGAATGTCACCACCTAGGCCATCTCCATGAATATTATCGACATTGGAACCACTGAGGGCACGGAATAGGTCGCCAAGATGTTGGTCTTCACCTTGGTGTCGGGTGGATTGTCTCATGTCGGCCATTTCGTCTTCGAATTGGTTCATCATCTCGACCTCCTCTTCGTCTTCGGTCATTTCTTCACTTTCCCATTCGTCCTCTTCGCCATCTCCGAGGCTTTCGTTGTCTCGGTCACCGCCGATTTCTCCGTCATACATGTCATCATGCATGTCCGAATGGTCGTGGTCTTCATCGTCATCGTCCTCGTCCTCGTCATCATCTTCGTCGAGGATGACTTCGACTGCATCTCCGGAAAGACCTTCGATTGGACCCATGCCATCGTCATCTTCGTCACTGACGACTTCACCATCATCTTCAGCGACATCCTCGTCGTAGTCCATTTCTTCGTCGTACTCATCATCGTACATCTCATCGTCCTCACCCTCCGATTCTTCGGTGCTACTCTCTTCCTCGTCATGACGAGGTTCTAGCATGCCAAGAGTAGAATGGCGGAAGAGGTCAGGTGTTTCCTCGCGTTCATCTTCCATGTCAGAAACGGAAGTTGCCGACGAGATATCATCGTCCTCGTTATCACCTTGGATAGTGATGTCCGAGTTCTCGCTGAGAAGTACGGCAGTCTGGGTAAGTTTATTCAGTGGACGAAGAATATACTTGATGACACGCCTGGAGGATGGGAAATTCAAGTCGACATCGGCGACCGACGAAGTGAGCGCGGGGATAAAATTCTTTTCAAACATGGTCTTCGCGAGCTGCCTGGTTGAAGTTGGGAAGCCCGCGTCGTTAGTGAATGAGTAGCCGCTGAGCATTTTATCGAAGAGGTCAGCAAGAGACATGAGCTTAGAATACTTGGCATCTAGGGGTTCGGTAGAGGCCATAGCATCTTTGTAGGACCGGAGAGCATGCTCCAGCACAAAACGGCGGACAAAAGCAAGCTCAGGCTCATCGTCTTCATACTTTGGCTCAGTACGACGCTTGCCAACGCCGCCAAATTCGCCAGTCTTGGTGCAAAGCGCAACAAGCACTTGCATAGTCCATGTAGAGGTGATGCTGCGCTTTTTGAACGCCAAAGACTCATCATGCTCCATGGTACCGAGCGGAACAAGCACGTTCAACATGTAGTTGAGGACACCAGAGCGCGGTTTGGAGGGCGTAGTGGCCAGAGGATCAGCCTTGCGGGAAAAGTTGATGAACTCAACCTTGGTCCGGTTGTAAGAGGAAAGAAGTTCCGTCAAGCACTGAAGGAGCAAGCAGCGGTAGATGTAAATCGGATGGTCATCTGCCTTGAATTGGGGCTTCTCTGCCTTCTTGGCACCGCGAGATGCTTGTGCTTCGGCAGTGCTCGCAATTGAAGGTGTTGGCTCGTCCACAGCCATGTCAACGTCAGTTTGAGTATCGGATTGGTCAGCTGCCTGCTCTGGGAATTCAGGACCGGCTTCTTTGTCGTCCACATCCTTGTAGGATAGAAGCTCCGAAAGCAGGTAATGAATAACACCATCCGGGTTCTCCACAATTGGGGCTTTGAGTTCGGCACCCTTGATTGGAGCCTTGCCCTTGTCCTCTTTGCTCTTGTCCGCGTCCTCGGGAGCAGATGTGTCGCCTGCTGCAGATGATTCTGACCTGTGCTCTTCGAGAAGAACACCGGGCCTGCCTCGCTTTTGCTGACGATCTTTGTCGGCCTTTAATCCAAGAACCTGTGGACGTTGGTTGTCATATCGGAGTAACCGCAGCTTTTCGTTTGTAACCTCCACAAAGATATCAGGAGCTCTCAGCTCGAGGTGCTGCATCTGTCGTACATAGCCGCTCACGTCGATCTGACGGGTAGTCTTAGACTCAAAGAAGGCAACAATTTCGCTCCTCATGATCTGCCGGATAGTAGCTTCATCCTCGACGATGTGACGAAGGATCAGCATGAAGGCGCTTTGGAGTTTCTCATTTGTAGCACTGGAAAGTTGCTTAACCATCACAAACAAGCGCTGAAGGTTTCGCTTTTCACCAAAGCGGGCGGCAATGCTACGCTCGCGAGTGAGAATGACAAGGACACGGCAAATGCAGAGTGCCAGTGTGTCATCCTTGCCCACTCGGGGTAAAATCTCGACAAGAGCTTCAAATAGCCGAGTCTTTTTCTCGAGGGCAACAAAGGGCTCTTCAAGACGGGCTGGTTCATTGCCGGTGGGGTTGGGATCATCAAGACTTGGCAGGGGCCAGGCGACCTCAGGGGGCCGACAATCATCAGACAACAGCTTCTCAAGAATAAGCAGGACATGTCCAACCCAAGGGAAGGTTTCTTGTTCGGCCTTCTCGGGTGTTGGGAGCTTGATAAATCCAAGGAAGGTCGAGAAGCAATCTTTGAGCTCTTCAAGAGTGGCGCGGTACATGTCACGATCTTGAAGGGTCAGTGCGAGAATGTGTGCATAGGCCGCAATCTTTTTGCCAGCTGTGTGGAAGTCTTCCATCTGCAGGGACACTAAGGATTGAACGAGAGTCTCTCCAATGTCGCGACGGAAGTTAACAGGCTCGCTATGCTTCTTGATAGCTGAGGTGATCAAGTCAGACAGCTCGAAAGAGACATCATGGTGTTCGTTTAGAATGTCCAGGGCGCGATCGATCAGGTTTGACCGAATGTTTTGCCTCTCTGCATCCAGATCTTCGATTGTGACCATGTGGCGACGTCTGGCCGGTTCTGCCTGGGAGGCCCCGGTAGATTCAGAGGAGCTTGTCCCGATATTACGACTCTCGGACCGATGCTGGTTCGATGACTCCCCTCGGTCATCGCTATCCATGTCATCATTGTCGTTGAGAACATTGTCTAGAGCTCTAGCCAACCCGTCGTGCATGTCGGAGTCAACATCGCCGCCGCCGAAAGGAGAACGTTGCATCCCGTCATGTCTGCTTGCTCGAGCCAGAAGCATTTGGAGTGTTGCAGCGCCGTCTAACGGATTGCCGTTATTGAAAGGTTGAACCTCTCCAAGACCATGGTCCTCGATGGAGTCGAGGCCGGAAGGGGCCTCAGGTACTCCGGTTTTGATATCGCCGGGACCCGGCGGGACCCTGGGAGGGGCTCGTAGCCACTGTTGCGCCTTACAGTATTCCTCAGCCGCCATCAAAAGATTGTTGCAACGATAAAGGGCTTCCTTGTTAAGATCAGAATCCATGAACCCTTTCTCGAGCAAGGCAGTCGCTCGTTCCGTGTGCACGACGAATGGCTTCTTGGGCACCTCTACCAACATGGGTGGCGTATCTGCTCTACGAGCAGCGCCAGTCTCATATTCCCCATCCAAGGAAGACCGCATGATATCAATCAATAGTCGAACAATTGGACTCGATGATTGGGTCGCAAAGTCCGAGTTCCACATGTCTTTGGCCATGGGCAAAATCTCCATGCGAAGTTCCACCAAGAGTTGGCCTGGCTGGAAATAATCGGGACGGTCTCGGTCCCGTTCAGGGTGGGAAGTCAAGGCTTGTGTCTGGCTAGAGTCCACGATGAATTTCCCAGCAGTGAGGTCTGCGAACAATCCAAGAATGATCTTGATTCCACCGTACCCAGATGCAAGCCGGTCAGCAAGCTCTTTGTCCTGGTCGGGAATGGACTCCGCAGATGGAAGGGACTTGATGTCGGCCAAGAAAACGTCACAGATGTCCTTTAACACTTTAAGGCCGTTGTTCTTATTGAATGAGATAAGAACTGAAGTCAAGTAGTTAGGAGTTGGACGCTCTGCCGAGACTTCATAGAGAAGGTGCGAGAAGTGAGAAAGAATGACAATGAGATATGCGAACCGGTGCTTGGTGCTGTCACTCGAATTGGCAGGTTCGAACCGCAGTTGGCGAAGAATACCTTCAGCAATGGCGTCTGAGACCAGCATAGCATTCGCTTTCTGTTTCTGAAGCGGATCTGTTCGTCTCTTGCCGATAATACCGAGTCCGAGGTTGTGCAAGAAACCGGTAATCGAGGTAGGCAGAGCGCTTAGAATATACCGAAGCGTACGCGCGTTCTTGAAAGCAGGACACTGTTCATCAACTTCGGTGTCGTCTTCTCTCGAGCCCTGGCCCGGCTGAGCCGGAGCAGTCTCTGGTGCACCAGTGCTCTCCTGTTGAGGTTCGGCGCCAGACGTTGCTGAAGGCTCGTGGGGGTTCCCAGTAACAGGAGAAGCCTTTGACTTTCCAGAGCCATGCTTTTCAGCAGAGGCCTGTGTAGCTTTCAGCCACTTCTCAGGGATGTTCTTCTCTAGCAAAATTCCTTCCCACACGCAAGAAGCAAGAAGGTTGCTCAACGAGGAGATCAGGGAACAATAGTGGTCCGTAAGGTTGGCTTGGCCAAAGATGGAGGTAGGTTGACCAGCGCGAGTTTGGTACAGTGGCGACGCGAAAACCTCACGTAGGACGTCGGTGAGGAGAAGAACGGCATTCAAGTGCCTCACGAAGAATGTACCAGATTTAGCAGCAGCCGTAGGCTCAAGAGCCGGTTTCTTGGAGTCTGCTGGTTTAATCAATTCTGTGAAAAATCCGGACCCAGTGGGTGCAGTCCAAAAGGCCGAAAGATTGTCCACTGCTGCCTGTGCGCGTCGAAGGAGACGGGAGCACAAGGTGCGGCTTCGTTTCCGCGAGCATGTGAATGAGCACGGTGATCTCTTGGTTGGCGTTGGTGCTGTGGAAATCAAATGCCAAGCTTTGGAGTGTGGCAAGATCCAACAAGAACTCTGTGCCGCCGGCGAGGATGAAGGATGTGCAGTTCGTCTGGTTCTCGAAGAAAGCGCCCAGGAACCGCAAAGCTGGGAACAGGTAGTCCGTAGCCGAGAGACCATGGGCATCCTTCTCTTTGGGCTCGAAGTCGGGGCCCGGCGAAGGAAGAACATGGTCCAGATGCCCAACGACAAGCTTAGCGCCGTTAGGAAGAGTGTCCGCGTTGAGCTGGGGAGCACCAAACGAGGCGGGGTCGTCTGTGGGTGCATCAACGGCTGTACCGATCTCTCGGAACAATGAAAAGACATCTCCTAAAAGAGTTGTTTTGCCGTCCACATCTTGAGTCCACATCTTTGTGCCCATACCTAACTCCCATGCCTTGACTCGCCCAAGAATGTTGACACGAGTAGCCATTACGAGAACGGCAGACATAATAGAGGTCTTCAATGCCGGGTGGTGTCGGACAAGCTCATCAAAGGTTGTGCCTAACGAACGAACCAGTTCTGGGTCATCCTTCAGGCATTTGACATGCTCAGGGTTCTCAAAGATCTCGAAGAAGCTGTCCAGTGCGTCGGAGGACTGGAAGAGGTCCAAACCGGAGGAGTTCAAGCAGATGGCACCAAATGCACCAGGGATACAAGCAAGAGCATCGGCTGCGGGCATTATGCCAGGTGCAAGAGGGGTGTCCTGGGGTCTGACGATAGGATATTCGCGATCTTTCTGCTTTTCCTCAGACTGGATAGCGGCTTCAGCGCTGGGCGGTTGAGTGGCGGCGAGTTCGCCCTCAGTCTCGGGCTCAGTCTCGCGGTCTTCCGGCTCGACGGCCGGCGGCTTCTCCAGCACGTGGAGTTCACGGCCCATGACGGCAGAAAGAAGGCTCTTGCTGAGGCCAGCCTCGGCAATGACAGCATAACTAGTAGGCTCGTTGTGAATGAAGCTGCTGAGAATGTTGACAGCATTGCTCCAAACATGTGAGCCGAACACTCGAGCATTCTCAAATACAAGGCGAAGAGAAGTCAACAGCTGAGGCGAATCAATCAAGTTTCGTAGAACACGATCGAAGCCTCCGCCATTGTGTTGCATGATATGGTTCACGAAACGAAACATCCAGCGCAGGGTCTGCTGTTGGAAGTAAGGAATCTGATAGTCAATCGAAGGGTTCTTGTATTGAGCAGGGAATCCATCCCCGCGATTGACCTTCTCAAACGCGGTCTTGGTCTCGTGGTCAATCAGATCAGACATGGCATCAAATCCTCTTGCCGTTGTCAGTGTAGCCAGTGCATCCCGGACCGCATGCACAAATGTGTCAAGGAACTCCATGATGCGGGAATAAACTCGGCGGGACTTTTCAGTCCGCAGATTCAAAATATCAACGAACATGGGAATCAGACCTGCTGCAACCAGGGTCTCCGGTGTACGTGTGCTCGAACTTGGGAGAGTGCGTAAGAGTGCAAGCAAAGCATCTCGCCACTCATCGTAGTAGGCATCATCCGGGTCGTTGTTCTCAGGGCCTAGTTCGTTGACCATTTTACGGGTCAGGAACATGAGAATTCCATGGTTGACATTGACGCTCAGAGCTGCGCAGACATCAACAGCACGAGTCTTGTGCTTGGCCAACGCATCCAGTGCCTGGATCGCCAAAGTTTGAACAGACCGGGAGACCTCGAGGTCGCCACTGGCACCGAGATGAACAACTTCAGCAAGCTGGTAAGCAAGTTGAAGACGCTTCGGTTGTTCGAGGTCGGATTGTAGAACCTTTGACTGGAAGGTACTCTCCGGCTGCACATGGGCCAGGTTGGTTACTGCTAGTGCCTTAATGGAAAGGATCTGTTGTCGCGTGGCACGGGATGCTGTCAACGCCTTGGCGACTCGGAGTTTTTGAAGCAACTCATATTTTGATTCAAGTGGCAGATGAGGCAAGTTGGCCGCAAGAAGATCTTCCACTTTCGCAGTTGAAACCTTTGAATAGGGAAGCTCTAGGACTTTGCCTCGCGTGGCCTCTTCCACCTTGCCACCGGGAACAGCTGGTGATTCGTCTCCATTTGAGCCCTGGGTGGAATGAGGGGTGGGGTGTGTTGCACTTCGTCGCAATGGGGTTGGTGTGGTCGGAATGTGCGAGCCCTGCTCTATTTGGCCAGCTTCAGAGGTCGTCCTGGCCTGTTCGGAGCCCGAAGGATAGTAAAGAACTCGGACATCTCCCCATTCCTCCCAGCCATCGTCATCACGCACGAGGGAAACCAGTTCATTGGCGTTAACTTTTGTCTGGGCTGTATTTTCTTTCCCTTTGGCTAAAACCGCGGGGGACGCGGCAAATGGTGTTTTACTAGCGATGACTGGACGAGGAAAAGGAGCTGCAATCTTCTGCAACTTTTCGAGGTCAAGAGCATAGTGGGACTGCAATACGGACTGTTGATGGGCGCCACGCTGGCGAGAGTGGTACCGTTGGGCTAAGCAAAGAGACAGCCGCAATGTAGATTGTAGGAGAGAGAGTGAGGTGGTATTCAATAGGTCACCCAGGCGATCGCTGCTGCTGTATAGGCTGCGGTTCCCACATTTCTCGAGCAAAAGACGGGAGAAATCAAGAACTGCTTCCACAAGCTCTCTATCTCCTTCAGGGCCGTATCCTAGGGCATTTAGTTTTGCATCGACACCCTCTGCTGGCTTTTTGCTCTCATCGGCCGAGTATGATTCCTCCAGAACACTGCGGGTGAACAGCTGCGTCTGAGGGCCAGTATTCAGGAAGTATTTCTCCACAGCAGAAGCTAGAATCTCGTCGAATCGGTCCAGGACATTGATCCAATGGTAGAGATCACCGCGTGGGAACGGCCATAGCTTAGGGAATGTGCTGAGAAGCGACGGGAGCTCTGGAACGGGAAGACTTGTGGCATGCGCTATGAATTCTTGCAAAAAAGGTGACTGTGATGAAAGGAAAATTTTTTAGTTGGGTTGCACATCAGGCCGCCGGAGAGTAACTTACGATTGTAGCCTCATGCTTTTGGCTGGCTACCTTCTTAATTCTCCCCATGATAACGATCGGTTGACCAGTCAAACATGAGGGAGTTTAGAGATTCCAGGAGGGTTGTCTCCTAGATAGGGTGGTGTGAGAAGGTCGTAAAGACCAGTGTCGCGGAGGAAGCGCGAAGATGCCTTATGACGTTTTTGGTGATGCTTTGCTCCTCAACGAAAATCGAATCAACTCAACGTGATGAACACCTGAGCAAAAGTTCCACTGTCAATAAAAAGCAAGTCAAAGAGATGCTAGATCGAATTTACCATCCAATCGTGAAGAAACTTGAGTAAGAAAGCTCAACTGAAGAGCTGAGAGAGATATCGGAAGCTGGTCAAATTAAGGGAAAACGGGTGCAGGTCGTTATCCCTCAAGATTTGACGTAGAGCTATTAAGATGGATATGTCAAAAGGAAAAGATGGCACAGGAGGGGTTGATAGAAAGAAGAGGGAAAGGACGAGCAACGTGAAGAGAAGCTGGTCTTGCCGGCAGAAGGCAGACGGGCGGAGCGGTTCTCTGACTGATTCCCCGCTGGGCCTCAGGCATCGACTGTCTTTTCCACTTACATCTTCAAAATTGTTTTTAGGCAATCTGATGCAACCTTCAATGTTGGAATTGTCGGATTTTATCTTACAGAGAACTACAGTGAAATATACTTGAATACATTCTCCCAGTTATTTTTGAAGGAATGTGGGACTTCAGAGGAAAGAGCCAGCTCCAATTTTATTGATGCGCGGTGAGCCACATGTCTAAGAACAACGCATACATGCTATACAAACAATCAGCCCTAAAACATTACAAACATCTCTCAAACAAATTTCACATCCTCTGCAATTCTCAGATATACAGTTTTTACTCCCTCCTGGCAGGCAGATCTCCGTCCCATTGGATTTTCATAGTCATGGGGAACGGAGAGAAGCTGCTGTGCTCGGCATCCATATACATGGCGATTCCTCCCAGTCCATCAAGCCTCTTCAGATGGCCTTGTGGCCCGGGGGCACGACGGACATTATCCAGTCGCCCAAGAACTTTGAGCATAGTGGAAAGCGCGAGAGGGCACATTTTCACGCCCAGGCATTCGTGGGGACCGAAGCCAAAGTGAGTGTACAGGCTCATATCGCGGTCAAGACGGACCTTGTCGGGATCGGGGAAGGCAACAGGGTCGCGGCCTGCAACAACCTATATTTTGTACGGTCTATTAATATCTGGGATACCGAGAGGGAAAAAAGAAAAAGGACACCAAACAACTTACCAAGTTGCAAATAATCTCTTGGCCAGCTTTCAGAGTGACCTTCTTACCGTTATCGTCAACCACCGCTGGCTTAGTGGCAAAGCGTGGCAACGCCACCGAGCATCGGAGTCTTGCTCCTTCCATGAAGCTGTATCCAGTTAGTATGGCGCGTTAAATCCTGACTCTTGGTATGTGAAGAAACTTACTATCGCACAAGAAGCTCATCAGCCTCAGGAGTGTCCTCCCTAGACAAGCGCTGAATCTCGGCCAGATGCTCCGCCGCTTCTTCGGAAAGGTAGTAGTCGATGCATTGGGAGAAAAGCTGGCCTTGGTTGGCAACCAATGCACCAGCTGTGGGAAGAATGTGCGACCACACAACGTCCTTAACCGGCAGCTGGCTGTCAAGTAAGCGTTGGATCATGTGGATACCATATTCACTCAAGATGTCATGGCGGTGTAGGCGGTTGACCAGGTTGGAAATAAATCCAGTCTTAGCAACTAGTTCGACGTTGGCTAGCGTCAACTCGCCCAGCTGCTGTGCAACATTGCGAGCAGTCTGGCAAAGCTGCAACGACTTGGACACGTCAACGTCGTAGAAGATAGAAGCGAAGATGACGGCCAAAATCTGGTACAGTTCCTGCTCGCTGAACACGCCTCTTGGGTTTGACTCTGTCTTGAGAGATAGGGAGAAGACGTTGGCACAGAAGTTAACTTGAGCAAGAACGGCAACATCACGAACGATGTCAACCTGATTGACGCCAGCAACCTTGAAGGAGTTTCGCTCGAGGAGCTTCAGAGTAATGTCCTCGTAGAAGGCCTTCACTTCTGATTCCCACTTATCACGGTGCAGAGCAGCACCGATCATCTTTCGAGATGCTGCGTTGGCTGGGAGATCACCCGACAAGGCGAAGTCTCGGCCATAAGGGCGGCCGCTATTCTCCATCAAAAATTGAATCTTCTCACCCCACACTACCTTGAAGCCTTCTTGGTCCTTCAAGATCTTTGTGCAAGCAGAGTGGGAGTTGATGAAGAGGGGTGGGGCTTTATAAAATGGTCGGTCAAAGCTATAGGTTTTAACCTTACCAAGGCTGGTCAGAATCTTCTTATTCTCATCGGGCACAACCAGTGGGAAGTGTGCGTAAACCGAGTCGCCGCGGAAATGATTGGGGAAGGCCTTCAGGATCAGTTTGTAGAAGACTTGACCACCGTCAACAGAGACATCATTGTTGATCTCATTGAATGCCCAGTTTGTGAGATGCTTCGGTGTGAAGTCGACAGTATAGAAGCGATCGCCACGAACCAAAGCAACCGCATCCGAGAGAATGGCCCTCGAGGTGGTGAAATTGGTGCATAGACCACTACCCGGGGTCATAGCCTGTTTGGTCTCTTCGACAACGAGGCCAGGGTACAACTCGACAAGGTCGGGATGGTCATAGAAATGCTTAAGCTGGTTCGCGATGTACGGGTCTGGATTGATCTCCTCAAAGGTTTGATGAGCAGCCAAACCAAAGTACTGACGGAATTCGTTCAAGGTAGCCAAATTCCAAGAGCGTGCCTGCTTGATGCCGAGAACCTCGATGCCTCTGAAGACATCTGGCACATTCAAAGCACCGAAAGCTCCGGCAGGGTCCTCAACGCTCTCCTCGAAGATCTTGACCAAATCATTATCGTTGAACTTTCCATCTGTTTGGCGTTGCAATTTAGCGAAAGGACGTTCCTGGGGATCTGCAGGGAGTTTTGATTCCCATTGGCGAAGACCCCCCTGTGAATTGCTGCATGCTAATCTCCTTCGGATCTTTCCCGTCAAATATTTCTTTATACATATCCTCTGACCACTTTTCGTCCCTAGACGAGACACAAGAATGCCAGCGATAAACAAGATTGAACTCGGCAGATACTTGGTTTCCGGTAGCCTGGGAAGGTGCCTCGCCAAGCAAGCCATCTTTGATATCGGCACGGGGATCCAAACTCCACAGACTGTCAGTTCGGTTGACGTTGAGGATGGTCCGGACATAGTCCTTCAGAATGATGTTAATATAAAGGCCACAAGTAACCAGTCTTGCGGTCTGGAAGAGGTCATTATCCCAGGTAGCATAAGCTTCGGCATTTGACTCATCCGGTTTCGTGAAACGACCACCTTCATTTATAGCTGCCAATTGAGTAACAACTGAGTTGTGGAAGCGGTTGAACATGATGAGAATGACACCAACGCCAGGGGGGAATCCCAAAACGCGCTTGGTTGAGAAGCAGTCAGGCTTCAACTTTCCATCCTTGAATGTTCTAACTGTATCCTGTTCTTTCTGGTTGTTACCATAAAGCGGAGACAAATCCAAGTACGAGGATGTCAATGATTTTGTTTGATCCCTGGGATCCGTCTGGAACAAGTCTGGGATATGTTAGCCTCGGTTCTTCCGCAGATATCTCAACCAACGGACAATAACCTACCGTGGATGATAATAGAGGCAAGATGGAATAGCACGCTAGAAATCTTGTTCGGGTGTTCCTTGAAATTCTTCCGGGCCAAGAGACTATCAAAAAGAGCCTCCGGCTCCGGAAGAGCAACAGGCTGCATAGTCTTCGGTCGAACAGACCGTGCGTATGGAGTGTTAGCAGCACCGATCTGGGGCCAGAAAGTGTTCTAGGGTTGTTTAGCAGAGATTCTCAACCCATAAGGGGGGGGGTTCATACGTTTCCAGATCCATCAGCTTTCCTGTATGCCGCATCACGTCCAAGATAGCTGCATCACAAGTCAGTTACTGGACATTTTCCACACATACCAACATCGCTTTGCATGACTTACGAGATAGGCGGGTGCTCCAGATCACCCCACAACTGGGTGAGGAAGGTATTGGTCAGCTCCTTGCCATTTCGAGATGTCGAAGGCAAGCCAGAAGCAAGCTGCAGAAGAGTTAGAGTGTGAAAACGGCCAATTCCTCGCGGAAACACAAACCTGAATCACGCGCTCCATGATATAATCTCTGTCATCCACAGCCTTACCAGTCACAGCAGTTTTGGCCATGTCCGCCAAAGTTTTGGCATCTTTCAAGTCAAAATTGAGCAGGTCCTTAGCAAGGCCAGTCACGGTTGGCTCTTGTACGTAGCTGCCATCGCCAGTTTGAGTGGGCAGGGGGCAAGGCAGCAGCCACAACTTGCTCGAGCTGAGCAATCTTGCCGCTGGAGTTGGAATCTTTCTCAGCCATGGCGAAATCAGTTGATATGATACAATAGAATAGTACAGAAGAGATTCGAGTGCGAACTGTGAATAATCTGTTAGCTCCAATGTCATATATACCAGCGGAGTAGTATTCTGCGGCTAAGGGGTTTGGAAAACCTTGAGCCGGGGGCTGAACAGTGCAGGTAGAGGATGAACAAGAATAATGGAACGTCTAGTCGCCTACCGGTATATGTCAAGCACAGTTAGGTAGGGTGAGGTATCGAAGCAATAAGATGGACAACCGAGGAACCCCGTATATAGGGAAGCAGCAAAAGAGCACAACAATCACAAGGTGGTTAGGAAAAGAAGAAGTGAATCATCATGCGATCATTTCGGCGGAAATGGGATAGGATATAATTATAAGCCTCCCATGGGAATAATCACGGAGTAAGCCGAGGGCCATCAGCCGAGCAAAGCGTACGGCTGAATGCACATTCTGCTAGTCCAGCCGCGCCCCCATATATTGACCATTCTCAGCGCAAGGTGGACCTGGGTGAACGGGAATGCCCCACTGGCTGCTATGAGCAATCAGATATCTCTGATTCGTGCGTGCTATACGGGGTCGCCCCTGCCAAATCAAGTCTTACAGCATTTTGGCTTACTGAGTACGGAGTAGCGACTTATCAGATGGCTAGCGGATAACCCGGAATACTACTGCCTGGGTAACCTGATAGACATGAGCTATATTAGCATACTCAATGGTTCAATTTAGTAGTTTCGCAAGATGTGGTCAAACGGCACACTATGATTGGAGAAATGACAGCGGCTGAATGGGTCCGAAGATCTGCAAAGTAATGTTTTAGAGAAATAGTAATAGTAATGCCGAGGGGCTTGAAGGGGTTTGTTTCGATTGGCGATGCTGTTCGGCCAAACTCACCATGTAAAATGGAGCTGAGACCCGGGGCGATATCATTCGATTCTGATTTGACGTTACCATTTTGACGGGTACAGTAGCTTGTTTTTTCTCAGCTCCCACAAAACCCGACACTACCCAACGACTTTTCTGCCCCGCTATCGTGCATATTTGGGCCTCGTTAGCTCCCGAGGACGGGTCGTTTCAGCTGACACCCCAGATGACTTGGGAGGCTACGGAGTAAATATATAACTTTTGTTGTCCCAGTAAATTATAGCATTCAAGTTGGTCTTCTGAGGATATACTGCAATTAACAGAATGTGCCATTGGCGGGCCAGTCCAATTTCCAGTGAAGAAGACAAACGTCATCTGGGGCAACAGGCATAGCCACCCGCTGGATCGCCAAGGCGCACAGATTGTCGTACTTCTTACAAAAAACCCCGGTTCTCAGTAAGCTGCCAAGGCAGGTTGCCTTAGAAGGCCATCTCAGGAAAGCTGGGCTCGCCAGAAATTGAAATATTAGGCGTTGGACTTTTGGCCTCAGGTGTCAACACGTGATGCCAACCGAGGCCCGACCTCAGACTGCCCTGTTTTTTTTAGCCAAGTCGCGATTTCAAGTTCTCTTAGTGGTCCTAAATAACGCCCCATCGTTTAAGCATCATACCTGCTTGAGCTAATTTAACATCATGGCGGCTGATAAAATCACGCTCGTCGTTCAGCCAAGGGGTATGCATTCATCCATGGATAGCTCTTGTTTACCTAAAGCTCTCAGCAAGGCCAGAGAGCAAACAAAAGCATTGCTAATCTAAAACCAGGCAAACCCATCCGGAAGCTCCCCAAGGAAATTGAGATCCCTCTCAATGCGTCTAGTGAAGAATTGCATACTGCACTCTCCGCAGCATCCGGTTGCTCAACCCACCGGATGAGAATCACCAAGGGTAGCGATCACAGCGTGGTCCCGAACTCGATCAACACGACTATCGAGGACACTGGCATGCGCAATTCAAGCGTGATCTACGTCAAGGATCTCGGTGCGTGTCTATACCCCATATCATGGACAATGCAACTCCAACCCCTATCAGCGCACTATTCCCAACAGAAACTAACATATACTTCTTCAACCCAACAGGACCTCAAATTGCCTGGCGTACCGTCTTCATCATCGAATACCTCGGCCCACTCCTGATCCCCGCGCTCTTCCTCTTCCCACTCCGACCCTTCCTGTACTTCACCTACGACAAGCCCCTCCCCTCCCCCTCAGACCTCCAGCTCCTAGTCTGCGCGCTGCTGAGCGTGCACTTCCTGAAGCGCGAGTTCGAGACCATCTTCGTGCACCGCTTCAGCAGCGCCACCATGCCTGCCCGCAACATCGTCAAGAACAGCGCCCACTACTGGATTCTGGCCGGTTTCAACATCGCCTACTGGGTGTTCCACCCAGACGCGACTGCCGCCTCGAGTACCCCCAATCAGACTCTTGTGTATGCCGGACTGGCGCTGTTTGTCTTCGGCGAGCTAGCCAACCTGAATGCGCACTACATTCTGCGTAATCTCCGCCGCCCTGGTACTACTGAGCGAGGCATTCCGTCCGGATTTGGTTTCAGTGTCGTTACCTGCCCCAACTACTTCTTTGAGATCCTGGCTTGGTTGGGTGTTTTCCTCGTCAGCCAGTTGAACTGGAGTGTGCTGTTGTTCATTCTTGTTGGTGGATTGCAGATGTGGAGCTGGGCCTGGAAGAAGGAGAAGCGCTACCGCAAGGAGTTTGGTGACAAGTATAAGAAGAAGCGCGCTGTCATCTTCCCTGGCCTTGCCTAAGAAGTTAGCGGAGTGTTGAAGTCTAGGCTGGTATTGGCGAACCCATATGCTATGGCAATAGGCTGAGTAATTGAGTGGGTGGAGAAGAGGAAGAAAACCGATGCCTTGATTGACGGCTCGAAAGAGGTCCCAAGCAGCTTATCGATCGATCCTAGTTGTTATGATAAACGGTATGCGCTAATTACTGATATCATGAGGCGATGTATTATATTGGTATTAGACATAATAAGAGTGAATGATTATCGTGTTCCCTTTTGCAGCTATGCATACCAATCGAAAGCAAAAATAATGCCATATGTTGATGTCTCCAGACCACACCCCGACCAACCCTAGAACATTGTATCTGTGAACAGGAGAAAAATCCCAAGCAAAACGCCGACTCCCCATAGAAACAGTGGACTCCTAGATGCAAGCCACTTCAAGAACATTTAATCGCTCTGTGTCTTCTTCTCCCATTGCTTATAGTATGGCTCTAGTTCGCGGGCACAGTCCCGGCCCTCTGCATCATCGCATCCATGGAATTGGATAACGAGATCACCATCCTTGTACGTACCATCCAAAGAAGCACCCGGCGAGTCACTGCTATATGAGCTTAGAATGCGCTGAGGGACTAAGGCGGTTCGAGCAAGCACAGTTGGGTGCCACTGCATGATGTGATCCTAGCAGAATTTCGGTCAGAATCAAGGCCCTCAGAGCTCTACCTATAAAGAGAGTGCAATATAATAAAAGACTTGTCTTACCAGTCCATGGGTCTCCGCCTTAGCAAAGTTGTAGTTGCGGTAGAGCGGGTCAAACCAGACGTCCAGGAAGAAACGGGCGAACTCTCCATTCTTCAAGATAAAGCTCCCTGGGTTCAAATCTTCGCTGTCTTGGGTGATGATAAGGTCGACGTCCGCTTCCTGTTGGTGCGCAAACGTCTTGATGATACTATCTGGCGGCACAACGGGCACATCCTTCAACATCAAGTCTTCAAGACGGCCCTTCTCCAGAATGTGAGACTTGAGGGATTTAGTAGGGTTCATGATCAGAGCATTAGAGGCGAGATAGAAGAAATAAGCTGAGTGAGGATGTGTAGCCATGGCATGACGGGTGGCCGGTGCAACAGCCCAACTCATCGGGGCATCGCCAACGGCTTCGTCGTAATCCGACACGCTTGCGAAAAAGTTGGTATAGCCTGTCCCCGTGTCAGGGTTAGATCAAGTCCATTACGAAGGAAGCTCTTCCACACTGCTTCATAGAGGGGTTAATTACCATGACGCTTGGCATAATCCTCCCGGTTTGCGACGATCTTTTTGAGATAGCTCTCGCTGTACCGTTGACGGTCTAGCAGTGTGACGATTACCACACCAGAAGTACTCGCCGGAGCAACAACGGACGTGGAAGATGAGGAGTAGAGGTAGTGGAGGAGATAAATAATGGATAATACTGCGAATGCAAGGACAGCGATCGACTTTAATTGTTTCCTGCGATAGGATGGCATTCGAGAGGAACGGGAGAGTGGTAGAGGATGCGGGCTCCGCCGCGGAGGTAACGCGAACTGCATGACGGCGTGTGATTGTCCCTATGTGTTATACAATAAGGACAGTGCTTCTGGTTCAATCAAATCATAGTAAGAAAGAGGGCAAAGTCCAAGAGTATTGAAGAAAGAGACTTGAAGATCGACGCGGGTGCGAAGATCCCGAGACATGTGGCGTCCGAATGCGGTCCACCTTCTCGCCGCATTCCAACTTCCATTCGAGGTCCCGCATCCAGTTGGGAATTTATAATTAGGACATTGCAAATAATCGGGGATAACATAGTATCTATTACTTTCCTAGATACTGATTAGCTCAAATAGATTTCATTAGGCAAGGGTTATCAAAGAAAAAGAGAAGGCTGATATATTTTATAGATCGGCCCTGTCTAGTACTATGAACACATCTGAACACAACTACCTCCTTTGGCCATTTCTTATTTTTATTTTTATTTCCTTTCAAATACTAATGCTTAGGTATGATAAATAGAAATATATGTCCTAAAGATATTACATATACTAGTATCTTGTAGACTCTTCTGTACGTATTCAAAAGACCTCTCAGCCTTATGAGGGTTAATTGGCTCCCTAGAACGGAGGAGGGTTCAAGTCCAAGCCGTCAACCGTCAACCGGAATTCATCTCTGGAATAACTTCCGGCAACATCCATATCAAGTCGACCTCGCTCGCAATCCTCCAAGTCAATCTCAGAAATCACAAGCCCACTTTCGATGCTAGAGCCATCAGGTGCATCGTCAGTGGAGACTTCCCAGATAGGTTCAGCCACAACTTCGCCCATCGGTCCGACAATGCAGGAGCCACCACGCGATATATAGCGGTCTGGAGCTTCTAAGAGGTCATGAGTCATTTGAAGATCTAAGTACAACAAACTTGGGATAACCAAACACCACGTACCTTCGGTAGTTTTACCTTGCTCGGTGATCCAGGACGGCAGTTCATTGTAGCGCACGCACTGGTTGCAGGTAAGCACGAAAGTGCGGCCTTCAAAGCCAACAGTGCGCATGAGAGGCAACCAAGTGTCGCGGCCGTCAGCTGTTGGTGCGAGGTAGATGTTCACATTCTGCGAATAAAGACTTTGACGAAGCAAAGGCATGAAGCTTTCCCAACAGATAGCGGCGGCGATAGTAAGCTTGACTCCATTGAGCTCCGTAGTGATAGCTTTCAGGGTAGAAGGAGAGCCCTGGGCCCATACAAGACGTTCAGAGCCAGTCTTTTTCAACAATTCCAGGTCAGCATCAGTCTGTATCTTCCAACCCCGCTGCATTCGACAGCAAGTCAAATCGACTACAGTTGGTAGCAAAAGATCAATGGCCATGTACTTACTGGCATAACCTTTCGTCTTTTCCCCAGAACACCCCGCAATGGATCGACATACAGCGCGGAGCAGTACAAGCTTCCCCCGGCCCTCTCAATCAAGCCAGTTGCAATAAAGACACCCGTCTCGCGGGACACCCGCTCGAGGAACTCTCTTGTCCCGTCACCACGGTGGTCTCGACCTTGAGCCACGGGCAGCTTGCGCTCCACCCAGTCATCTCCTGCTCCAGCAGGCGTATCGCCGAGGTCAACGGCAGCACGGAAGTATTCAAGAAATTGATCCCGGCCATGGGGGGCACGGGCGCCAACAGCAGTTCCAAAGTCACAAGTGCGAGGATACCCGCCTAGATAAGCTTCTGGGAAGAGCAGAAGATGGACACCCTTTGAAGCTGCATGCTGGGTGGTTTGCTTGAGAGACGCGAGGGTCAATTCAAGTGTAGACAGAGTGCGGGCTTGCGCCACAGCAACGGTGATTTTTTGGGGCATTCTAGCGTAGTATTCTCTCCTGTAGTGAAGTATTTGAAGAGCAAGGTTTGAAAAGAGTCAGAATAAATAGTTACCCCTCTCAGCTTGTGAGTCAATTCGGGACTCTTTTCGGAGGCTGTAGTGTCCGCCGGACCTTGGCATGCCGATGAGCTTGCACCGCAATTTCACCAATACTTTGAACTTAGCCTTGAATCTAATCAGTTTGCTGTTTACGTACACACTCAAATAACGCCAACGATCAAATAATCATCTTTCAGCCTTCATCCTTTTGGGAAATGTCTAGTCACGTGGATAGATGGAGCCGAAGCGGAACCGTCATCGGACTAAGATGTCCGATGAACCTACTGAGCCGCTAGATACCAAGTCCGAATGGAAAGAAACAAAGTAGCACCATCTAGAAAGAGGCAGAAAGCATTGGCTTGCCGACGGTGTCGATTACGGAAGCAAAAGGTGAGAGTACTGGATTACAGCCTTGAATCGCGGACAGACTAACCAAAGCCAGTGTACGGGAAGCAGACCGTGTGATAATTGCACAGCAGCAAATACGGGTAAGTGTATAATGACCCAAACAACAAGACAATCTCATCTGATTGTATATAGAATGTATCTTAAGTGAGCCGGCGAGCCGAAAGGCTCGTGTCAGTACCGAGTAGGTCGAGTCAACCATGCCACAGGTGTCCTACTGACTGCCCTTATAGATACACCCGAGCTCTTGAAGAAAGAATTGTAGACCTCGAGTCTCAAATTACAGATAAGAGGTCAGAGAATCTCTCTGCCAGCCAGCAAACACCTACGCAGGAATCTCCACATCAAAGGGGCAATGAAACGGACCATGTTCCTCAGGCTTCTCTTGCGTCAAGGCCACCATACCCTTGCAGTATGCCTCATGCCGGCGCATCATTGGCTTTACCTTTCCCCCATGTAGTGGAGGGCCTGCCGGATACTCATGGCCAATGTGGACATTCCAGCTTGTTGATTGGTATACTAGCTACTCTCACAGGCACTGAAGCCTCCGGATTCCTCCAAACACAGTCTGAAGGTCCAAATGCCCCCATTTTCTCTCAAATCACAGAACAAGTGTCACAGCCGGGTCGTGTCCCACGGCTTTCAAATGAGACATCTGATCGTTTGGTTCAAATATATTTGGAACGAGTTAACCCACGATATCCCTTTCTTCATCTGGCTACTTTTCTTCGCTGGTATGAATCTTGGAAGTCTCGTTCGCAGATGGACAAGGCCAGACATCAGCAATCTCTATGGAAGGACTATTTTGTAACTATGGTATGGACAAAATACTTATTAGTTCGAATTTATATTAACCTTCGATACATTGCAGGTGCATGCTGTTGCCCTACTTCTAACACCTCGTGTCTCTGTCGACGACATTGCTACTTCTCAAGTACGTGCATATCAAATACTTAAAGCTACGACCAAAGGAAATCTAACAACTTAGTCCTTGTATAACACTGCCATGCAATATCTTGTCCATGTTTTCGCACAAGCCGATTCTGTTCTACATGCACAGGCATATCTTCTCCTGACTCTGCATGCACTTCACTCCCCATCCTCACAGATGATTGTCACAATTGTCTCTGCAATGATGAGATACTGTGTCATGGCCCAACTACATTTAGCGGAGAGCGAGCCGCAGGTGCCGAATCCCGCATTTTCCTTAGAGGTCCAAACCCGCCGTCGAGTGTTTTGGTCTGCTTATGCTTTGGATCGATTTGTCAGTTGGATTTACCTCATTCCCAACAATATAAACGATGAACACATTAGCGTGGAGGTAAGTCATTTCCCAAGAACCTGACCTCAGGATCTATACCTGAAAATAATATTGAACACACTGACAATGGTAGCTTTTTTCAAACGTCGGAGACGCCGACCTTTACCACGAAGGGTCAGAGGATAGCCGCATTCGAATAGAAACACCATCGCAGAAAACACATGTCTCACCAGCTCTTCACCTATTCCGGTGCAGACGTATACAGTCCCGGATCATCAGCACCATGATGCGGTCTGATTTCAAAGAAATCGACGCCTCAGCGACATGGCGAGAACATATGTTGGGTGAATTGGACTTCTGGAGGTCTCAATTACGGCTATTGAGCGATGTCGCCTCCAAAAGCTACACGAGTGATCGATGGGTTGGCATGGCTTACAACTATACAATCCTCCTGTTATATCAGCCAACCAAAGCAAACGTCAATAATGGCTTTGGTGACCGGTCAGTCCCAGCCTGTGTTCAGATTGCTATGACATTTAGGACTTTCCAAAAAGACCGACAGACAGCACAATTATGGCCTGGGGTATGTGCTGGTAACCCTCTATTCTTTCCTTCAACTGACTCAGTCCGGTGATCAGCTCCTGAGCCAAGTCGCCGTAGGTATCACCCTTCTATACTGCTTCTGGGCGACTCCACCCCAATATCAAACCATCGCCTACCGATCACGAGAAGTCCCGGACGCATTACGCGCTTGCTCAACTGCACTGGCCATCCTGGCCGAGCGATGGGTTCAAGCTGAACCTTTGCGTGATGTTTTCGATGTTCTAGCCAAAGAAGTTCCGCTCCACGGAATGACAGAGGAAGACCCGCCACCGAGGCGCATATCGGCGGAGTCTGCTTCCTACATTCAATCCCAGATGCCTTTGCTCACGTCGATCATCATGCATCGGGGTGTCCTGCGCATGATACGCGAGATGATCACGGAGGATTTCCCTAGGAGTCTGAACGAGGAATTCCACCACCAACTGCGGGCCTCGCATGACCAAACTATGCTTGGGACTTTAGGTAGTCACATATGCTCCGAAGAGTGTCCGTTTTTCCGTGAACCAGCTCATCCTGGATCGATGGCTGGAGTGGATGCCCAGGCTTTTCCTCCACTTGAAAACGGAATTGGCAGTGCCTATGGCGTTGACGACGACACGCTCATGTTTCCGCTCCTCTTTGGCTCGGCGGAATTTTGATTTCGGTGGAGTGCTATATTCTCTTTATATATACTTGTGATAGACATGGCATAAAAAATGGTCAGATGAAACGTCTTGATAAGTGAACATGAAGTAAGATTGGAGTATAATACACAGAAGACCCAATATGCAAATTTAAAAAGAGACCGCACCCAAATTAGAAAGCCGTGACCATCATTTCCGCCAGGAGAATCGAGGTAGCGTACAAAGATGGCACAAACCCCATGGTGCCCAAAAAACCGTCCATCGCTCTTCAGGATAGTGATACAAGCGCCTGCCCATTCCTCTCAGCGCTCAAGTTCGCCCAAGTCGCTCTACCGAGCAGGCAACTTGGTGCCTCGCAGAGACTTGCGAGGCTTGGTCATTGCATCAATGTCCAGGTTTTCGATTTTGTTCCTGATTTCCAGTCTGTGGTCCCTCATCCATTTGCTCAATGACGGGGGTTCAGGGACACCGAAAGCCTCGCGCTGCTTTGCAAATTTCTCCTTGATCGCCGGAGTCTGCATAATCTGGTGTCGAAGGTTCCAGCCGAAAGGACCGAGCTCCTTGAGGCGCGTTGGCCGATCAGACAGCAAATAGTTGTCTAGGCCCTTGGCCTTGTAGATTGATCGCAAGGCGCGACGAGTGACCTTGATATACACCGACTCGCCCAAAGCTTTACTCTCGATCTTCTTTCGGCGCACGTTGGGCTTCCAGCTTCGACGTGTCTTGCCTTCGTTGCGTCCCTTGGAGATCTTGTTACCGAATCGGATCGAAGCGCCTCCGTAGAGACCGGAGTCAGCCTGCTTGTACCACTGGGATGGTCCGTAGGGGTAGACTGGAGCGGTTTCCGGTAGTTTCGGAACCGATTGCGTTGCCGGCGTCGTTGAGAAGGACCGCTTCGGTATGGCGATGGAAAGACTGCGGAAGGCCGAGGCCAAAGAGAAGGGGGCGGCCATTGCGGACCTTGCTTGTAGGCCTGCCATTGTGTTCGACAGGTATCGGACCCTCGCAGAATGTCGAGTATGCAAAGAGTCGGAAGGTCGTTAATTGACAACGGGCGGAGGAGAGGTCCAACAGGGAAGAATTTGGGGCAGCTCACCGCCCTGGGGTCGGCGTTCTCATTCGACGATCCCTTGCTCGCGAATTTCGGCCAGAAGCATATCTCACAGAGAACCATCGCGTTTCCTTTCTTTTCTATCTACGCTATTCCTTTGAAGCTTTGATTTATTTTTACTCCCTCCTTCTCAACTGATTGTCTTATCTTTCGTTAATACCTGTGGCTCTACTCGGCCACACCTATTTCAAACATGGTCCAGATCAGTGAAGTAAAGGGTAACTCGCGCGAGAACAGGACCGCAGCGCATACACACATTCGGGGTCTAGGCTTGCGCTCTGATGGGACTCCGGAGAACAATGCGGATGGATTTGTGGGACAAGGAGCTGCCCGTGAGGTGAGTGGATAGCAATGCTGAATCTACCAGGGTATCTGGTTCGCAGTGACGATAACTAACGGTTCAAACCATGGGCAGGCATGCGGTGTCGTGGTGGACTTGATTAAGTCAAAGAAGATGGCTGGACGGGCTGTGCTTCTTGCTGGTGGCCCTGGTACTGGAAAGACTGCTCTGGCTCTTGCTGTATCGCAGGAGCTGGGAACCAAGGTTCCTTTCTGCCCAATTGTTGGCAGCGAAATCTATTCCGCAGAGGTCAAGAAGACTGAAGCATTGATGGAGAACTTCCGGAGAGCTATTGGTATGCAATGCGACATTAGGAGAAGCCCAACAAGGGTGGAAATTCAAGCTAACCTGTGACAGGCCTCCGTGTTCGCGAAACAAAGGAAGTTTACGAGGGAGAGGTTACAGAGCTTACCCCCGAGGAGGCTGAGAACCCACTGGGCGGATACGGGCGCACAATTAGCCATCTGATCATCGGGTTGAAGTCCGCTAAGGGCTCCAAGAAGCTGCGCCTGGACCCCAGCATCTACGAAGCCATCCAGAAGGAGCGTGTCACAGTCGGAGATGTTATCTACATTGAAGCAAACACCGGCTCATGCAAGCGAGTCGGGCGATCCGATGCCTATGCGACCGAATTCGATCTCGAGGCTGAGGAGTATGTGCCTGTCCCCAAGGGCGAGGTTCACAAGAAGAAGGAAATTGTTCAGGATGTGACCCTTCACGACCTGGATATGGCCAATGCCCGACCCCAGGGCGGACAAGACGTGATGAGTATGATGGGTCAGCTGATGAAGCCCAAGAAGACGGAAATCACGGACAAGTTGCGCCAGGAAATCAACAAGGTTGTCAACCGATACATTGATCAGGGTGTCGCGGAGTTGGTTCCTGGTGTTCTCTTCATCGATGAGGTACGTGGAGAAGTCTAACCTCTGGATTATTGGATCATGTCTCTAACCCCGCTTCTTCTCTAGGTGCACATGCTCGACATTGAGTGCTTCACATATCTGAACCGTGCCCTTGAATCGACCATCTCCCCGATTGTCATCCTTGCCTCCAACCGCGGTCACACAGTCATCCGCGGTACTCACGAAATCAGTGCCGCACATGGTATCCCCCCGGATCTGCTTGCCCGCCTTCTTATCATCCCCACCAACCCCTACTCCCCCGAGGAGATCAAGACGATCATCCGGCTGCGCGCCAAGATTGAAGGTCTCAATATCACAGAACCTGCCTTGAACAAGGTTTCGGAGCATGGCAGCAAGGTCAGCTTGCGGTATGCCCTGCAGCTGTTGGCCCCCGCAAGCATTCTCTCGCGCGTCAATGGCCGCCCCGGCGCAATTGAGGAGGCCGATATTGCTGAGTGCGAGGATCTCTTCCTGGATGCAAAGCGCAGCGCAGTCATTGTGGATCAAGATAGCAAGAATTTCCTGTCATAAATGGCTATGAGCGAGAAAGTTCCATGATCTTGTATACCAAAGGGGTATCTTGGATGTTTATTGAAAAGGCGAATTGTTTTGTGTGGGCCTGGTGTTACGCTAATGCTATGTATTAAATTCTATTTCCAAATTATTGCAACTTCCAGAACATAAAATGGTTGTAGATCCAAAATAGAGTGTATAGATGTCATCTGCCTGTCGCAAATGCAACCCCGGCTTAGATGAATCACGTGTGTCTCACCGTCACTCGTTCCTGTTCCAACGTTTGCGAATCCTAGCACCTTTGGTTATTTCAACTGTTTTCTCTTTGTGTTCCATAGTACTTCGGGAAAGGCAGTTTACATCGATCGCAAAGTGAAGCCACCCTAACAAGACCCGTTGACCGAACCGCCACTCAGCACTATTGAACAGCGTCACCCGCCCCAGATAAAGTGGAGCCTATATCAACACATCAACCATTACAGACAGCAGATCTTCGCTTCCCCTAACGACCCTAAGCCGATACACATATCATACAATCACCATGTCAAACCCACTAGACACAGACGCCGGCTCGGAGATGTTCGCCAGCTACGAGAACGAGTTGAAGCTGGTGCAAGCCGATCTGAACCAGAAGCTGGACCAGATCGCCGAGGCAAGCGGCGAGCAACGGAAATCAGCAATCAGCCACGCAACACAAGTCCTCGAAGAAGCGACAGAACTGGTGAGTCCAGCGAACCCCTAAAGCTTTCTCATGCGCCACAATGCGAGAACAACGACCAACTGCAAGAACAAGAAAAACTAACCCAATCAATCCCCATCTAGCTCGACCAAATGCGCATGGAGAAGCAAAACATCCCCTCAGCAACCCGGTCAAAAGTCAACATCCGCTTCCGCAACTACTCAACCGATATCGACGAGGTCAAGCGCAAGCTCAAGTCCCTCTCAGATGACCGGCAAGCACTCTTCGGCGACCGGTACACTGACGAGCCGCAGGATGAGCACCTGGAACAAAGACAGCAGTTACTTTCTGGTACGGACCGGCTGGAGCGCAGCTCAGCGCGGCTGCAGCAGAGTCAGCGCATGGCGCTGGAGACGGAGGATGTTGCCCGCGGCACGCTCGGCACCCTGTATGAGCAGAGGGAGCAGATCACGAATGCTCGGAATAACTTGCAGCAGAGTGAGGGTTATGTTGATACTAGTATCAAGACTTTGAGGGGCATGGCCCGTAGGTACTGACCCCCCTTTTCGTCCGGTTATGGTCCAGATATAGACGTGGTTGCTGACCTCTCGTGTGTTATTTAGGATGGCTACCAATCGGATGATCACTATTGCTATCATTACGGTTCTGGTTCTTTTGATTTTCGCTGTCATTTACAGCAAGTTCCATTAGCGCTTGGGTCTCGCGCTGGCGTTTGTATACTCGGTCTTATCTTTCGTGTCCTTTATTATCTGCTCTTATGTCTACACTAGCAAGGCTATTGTCTCTGTCTCTCTCTCAGTGTCGCATCTTTGCCATTATGTATGATAGCATCCGGCGAGTCTTATACAGCTAGACCAAGTCTCTGGTGCAAGCAATCCCGGTCTCTAATACGACAGTTAACAGCCCAAAGTCCCAAGTCTTTACATATGTATTGTAAAGTACCAAACAGCTTCAATTGGGGGGTATCTCATAACGCCAAATAAAGAGAAAGACATATCTCAACACCCTAGTTCATAATCCTCATCGCCCCAAAAACAGCATTAACAATAACACCCACACAGACAGCAACCCCCTTCCTCCAACTCCAAACCCCCCTCCTCCCTACGCAACCACATCGCACAACCAACAGGCCAAAAGAACCCCATAACAGCCCCCCAAAGCATATCATCCATCGCCCCGCGCGATCCAGACCCAATCCCGCCCTCATCATCCCCAACCCCACCCCCACCAAGACCACCCTGAACCTGCGCCGCCGTCGACCCCTCATCCATCCAGCGGTCCTCAAGATCCCGCAGCTGGTCCCCAGTAGGCATAGTGTCCGGCGTGCGGGAAACGGACTGCATGGCTAGGAACTGGGATCGCAGAGCGGTGACCTCAGCCGCTGTGAAGCCCGCCGAAAGGAGGCGGTCGAAGCCGCGGGGTGCGGGTGTGGTGGTAGTTGGCTGGGGC